GTCAAAGGCCACTTTTACCTCTCCATTTCTTGGACAATATCTGGTATATAATCTGTATGTCTTTTGCAATTTTCAACTTCCTCCCAACAGAATATCTGAAATCACAGAGTCAAAGTTTTCTGAAGGCAATGGCAATGCTGCAAAATAGAGGCATGTCTTTACCTCTGACTATCTGAAAAATGAACAGCAGCTATGCCCCCGTTCACCTTACAAAACCGCCTGCCAGCTCTTTCATGGGTTATGCAGCCAGATTCATGCTCCAGTCTTTATCCTCACAAACAGCACTAAAAAACCACCAATCCAATGCAGACTGGAAAGTGAAAAATGCATGAGAGCATGGTTTACTTTGCAGATTGGTGCTGTAAGATTAAGACTCCCCTAACAGTGGACCACATGGTTGTAAATTCATTATGCTTCTCAACACACAGCACATCTTTGCAAGCAAAATGCAAAAGAAGAGCTAATCTTACGAGCACTTCACTTAGCACAAATGTTCATATACACACATAGAAATGGCAAGGAACCACGTCTTAAATTCCTCTTCATCCCCTTTTTCTCCCCCCAAGAATCGGGTTACAGCCAGAATCACTTGGATTCTGTCAGACCTAGTGTCTTCGAAGCATTTCTCTGGAGTTTCTGCATCCTAGGAACAGTCAGTTCTCTTTACAATGGTGCAGCACTGCACCTTTTTGATGATGAAGACCTGTCACATACCAGGCTGTGCTGGCCTGAGCACAGCCAGCATGTGAAAGGGCAAGATTATGGGTTCTCCATCCCTCAGGGTTCTCAAAACTGGCTGGAGAAGGCTCTAAGCAACCCGGTGCAACTTTGGAGTTAGCCCCACTCCCAGCAGATGACAGGACTAAAGACCTCCAGCAGTTTCTTCTCACCTAAACCCTGCTGTGATTCTATGCCAGCTTCTCCAGAACTATCTAGAGATGTTTCTTGGACTATCCTTGGATCAACACTTGCAGCACAACATTTTTATCTACAAATGGAAGGGCAAATAATCTACAGTTCTTCTGAAAACATGCAAAAATAACAGCTTCTGATGACTGACAGAGACACCAACTATTTGTCTCATGTTAGAAAAGCTTGACATCAAAGCAACTTCCATTATCCTAGAAGCTAAGGCCAACTACACCTTTTAAGTAAGAAATAAAGCTGTATATATTGTTATTAATTAGAAAAAATATTTCTTACCGTTCCTGTAAAAAAATAAATATTGCAAGGTAACAAAAAATAAATATGTATACTTCATCACTCATATACAGGGGAAAACACCCAGCTTTTATCTGTCATGAATTTCCTGTAGGACTAATTTAGACTCAGTCTTTGAGGTCCAGAATAAGTTCATAAAATTATTAACTTCTCCCCAGACTAGGTCATAAACTAAGAGCAAACAGATTCTCTCTTCCAGGAAAAATGCATTGCCATTTAAAATACTCCTACAGCAACATAGCAACAATTCAACACTGAGCTTTATGAGCTCATTGGGCACATTTGAGTTACAAGCAACATTTTATCTGGATTTCCCTGGGCTATGTTGCCATTAGACAGAAAAAACCCTCTCATATGGCATGTACTCTTTGTGATATTCACAAGTTTGCCATTAAGGCCTAAGATGAACTGAAAGCCTCCATCAAGACAGTCTTAGATTAATTAAACCCCACGAAAGATAAGACGCAAACTGGGATTACATATCCCACTATGCCTAGCCCTAAATCTAACCACTTTACCAGAGCATCTCACTGAGAACTACAAGCACGAACTCTTAAAACTGTAAATTTGGGTGCCCCAAACTCATATAGAGGAGCCTATTCTCAAATTCCTAACCCCTAATCCACCCAACCGTCCCTCACCAAGACAGACTCTACACTGCCATCACCAGCTCACTCAGAACATAATGGTGAAAATAAGAGCCTCCACTTAGTACAGACAATAGAAACAACCCTTGCCATGGAAGAGATTTGTATCATTAGGGAAAGGTGAAACAGTAATGAAAACCCCAAGCAATAAAGAGCAAAGATAAAACACTTGTACCTCTTGCATCATGATTAACAACAACAACAAAGTAAAATTACTTTGATCTTGCTATCTCAAAACCCAAAAGAGCTATTTACAAGCAACTATCACTGAGTGAACCCATCTCTATTGCAAAAGAATGGAATGAGCGGGTGACAAGCAGATCAGTCTGCGTGATAGAGTGAAATAAGTCTAAGTTCTCCCTTAATTTTCCTCCACAGACATTCAATCTAGCCACCATGTAACTCAAGTTACACACACATGCAACTCCATCACACCAGCAGCCGGGAGATGGGAATGTGCTCAGTAAGTTTTTGAAAACAAATGTTGAAGTGCATGCACATCTTTAAGAAGAAATGGCAAACACCAGTGTGGGAAGAGCTGTTTTTTCCCCCTCGTCCTGCCCTGGTAATGTTAGACACAGGATTCCTATCTGCACTGGTTTGCAGCTGGTGTTTTAAAATGTACCGAAAGAGAATGGGACAGTTTAATTCCTCAGCCTGTATACTAGGAGATGCTACTGCTGTCCCAGTTTAATCTGTTGCCCCACAAGGTTGTTAAAATATCATTTGGAGCCCTTATCTTTCAGCAATGGATAACTTCAGCTGAATGACCAATGATAACTTCATCTTATTTACATGCTGAGTTTTATGTGAATTTGATTTTGAAGTAACTGGTTTTAATGCAAACAAGCCTACAAACTAAAATAAAGGTTTTGCTTAAAATTAAGTAGTGCTTTTATTTTTTCCAATTTATGATGATGTCTGATAAAAAATGATATTGATTCATCTTATTAAGTACAGATGAAAGTTGGCTGAAATTCCTTTTGTATCTGTCGTTGTGGGTTGAGTGGTACAAGCTCGTGTATGGTGCTTCTGTTAGCTTGCCTGGGAATTTCAAGGAATGGAAGTCTCTCCATTTCTCCCTTCTCTTCTGCTTCTCTTTATGCAAAAGTTGAGAGATCCACCCTCAGCCTGAGGCACGTTTGTTCTTTGCTCTGCCTTATGACAGCTCCTTTGCTCTTATGTCCAGCAAGATGGGCAAGGCTAATGCATTACCTCTTTTTGTGCCTGCATTCTGGGACTGGAAAAATAAAAATCAATTTTAAGTGTAAAAATACAGAATTAACACTTGATTTGCCTATATTTCGTAGCATTTCCCCCCAAAGCTTCTATTAGCAGTCAATACCAAACAAAAATTTAGTGTAATCATGGGATACAGCCGATGGGGTACTGCACAGGAAATAAATGTTGTGTTAATTTGATTTAATCTGAACAAGACTCTAGTGGAAATGGGATACATGACTAAAGTAACAGTAGTGATAATTTTGCTTACAGAAAGTTATTTTCCATGAATAATAAAAATGTTTCCTTACATTACATTTGCCTTAGCTCACAAAATCCTTTTCAGAAGCACACTTTTTGCCTCTTGTGGAGTGAAAGCTGTTTGGAGTGTAAAACCTCTCCAATGTGTGGATGGAGAACATACTGCACTGTCTGTACGTAACTGTTTTCTGCTGGGGAAGTTCCCTAATATTAGAAGGAAATACTTTGAGAGTGCTTTTACATTTTTAATATTTTGGAAAATCCTAACCAGTGGTTTTTTTAGGTCTGAAAAGCCTTTTTTAAAAAAATCTGTTCTTTTTGTATATAAAAATGTAAGCAATAACAATTATGGGAAAAATATGTCATGCCCCATCATGGGAATGGGGATACCTTTTGAAGAAAAAACAGAACTTGCCAAACTGGATTGGTACTCCAGCTGCTTTTTTGGGGGGGATATGTGTAGTTGTCATATTCCCATTAAGTCGCCATACCATCCATCTTTCTCATCAGAACACAATTCAGTGATGTAGCCAAATGGTTCAGGTAATTTTCCTTTCGTACCTCGAGGAAGTTTGTTCCTCTGCATCTGAATAGGTATAGATGCATTTGTGGTCACAGGCAGAGTGTTTTTTCCACTTTTGCATATCAAGTTGCAGATGCTTGGTGGAGCAGGTTATTTACAGGCTGACTGTTACTGCATACTGTTGGCCCTACATGTTCACAAGGAACAGCTCACCTTGCTGTTGGAAAAGCACATTTTTCCACTGCAACATTTCTTTCTTTGCTTGCCCTCTGCATAAAGGATTGCAAGAGGGCAAGGATCCCATGTGCTCTTCAGCTCCTTCCTCACCCTCAGCTGAAGAAAGGAAAGCTACCCATGCAGCTTTAAAAAGGCACTGAAAGAGACTAGGTTTACATTAGATATTAGGGAAAAAATTCTTTACTGACAGTGGTGAGGCACTGGAACAGGTTGCCCAGAGAATTTGTGGATGCCTCATCCCTGGGAGTGTTCATGGCCAAGGTGAATGGAGCTCTGAGCAACCTGATTTAGTGAAAGGTGTCCCTGCCTATGGCAGGGGGATTTGGAACTAGATAATCTTTAAGGTCCCTTCCAACCCAAACCATTCGATGATTCCATGATTCTATATAACATTTACCATTCTCCATCTCTGGCAAAAAGAGAAACCTGACGAAGTTCTCCATTCCAGAAAAAGTACCTTAGCAGCCTGCAAGACTGTTGTCCCAGTCTAACGAGACAGAAGTGTTTGCTGAGGAGGGCGAGTTATGAGGAAGACTAAGCTTCTCCCTCTAAGCAATTGTAAATCCGAAATTAAGGGGCTCCAGTCGAGAAAATGTGGAGAAAGAAAAAATAACAGCTCTTTATTAAAGAATATATGTGTATAGGTAACACAACAAAAGAAAACCCCCACGATAATCCTGCACCCAAATTACCACCCAAACCAGTTCAGGACGTTTCGGCGCAATTCTAACCACGGCCAGCAGGGGGCGCTGTAGGACCCCCCCCCCCCGGAGGGCGGGGGCTGCAGTTGCTCTCCGTGGTCGGCAGGGGGCGCTGTTGGCCTCTGGCGCGAGGGAGGAGCCGGACGGGAAGGGGGAGATTCCTCCTGTGGGCTCGCGCTGTCAAAGGACATGGCTGGAACTCCCTCTCCTTGTCAAGGGGTGCAAGCTGCCGCTGGCACGGAGAAGGAGGAAGTGAGGGGAAGAACAGCCTTTCCCCTCAGAAATTCCTCTGCAGATGGTACCGGCTTCTCCGATGAAATCCGAGGCAAGTCCGGGCCGTGAGCAGAACGGAGGGAACGGAGGCGAACCGGGGCCAAAGGCAGCTAGATGACTTGGCCGAAAACAAAATGAACCCTGGAGCTCTTTCTCTACACACACCCCCTCCCTGAGTAAGAGCAAAAGTAAAGTGCCGTCTCCCGAAGGAAAAAAAAAACCTCACCTGCCCCTACAATCTTCTGAAGACACCAGCTTGGAATGTGGGACTGTCAGCCAGTCCCTCTGTGTGTGTGTCTCACTCCGGTCATCTCCTCCCCCCTCCCTCGCTCAACACCTTTCTTTCACAGTGGTAAAGGGAAAAAATTCCAAGCAGGGTTTTTTTTTCTTTAAAACAAGATAACCTATGACAACTGTCTAAACAGAGGATGAAAAGAGATGATATTAGTGACACGATTTACATTTTCTACTTCAAAATCGAACAGCCCATTCGGGTAAACTCTCCCGCAGCTGTCAGGGAATTCTTCCCAATGAAATGCTTCATCTCACCCAATGAAGAAAGAAACCCACGAAGCAACACTTTTATTTATTTATTTATTATTTATTATTTTATAGATATTCCATAGACTACTGATTTATCGCTTATTTCCAAACCAGCCTCGCGCGCGGGGCTGGCGGGGGGACCCGGACGGGCGGCCGCGCCCTCCGGCGGCGGCGGCGCGGCAGCAGCGACTCTCCCGATCGGTTTTCCGCTCGTGCTCGATTTTCCACTCGCTCTCCCTCTCGGTCTCGCACTCCCTCCCTTCCCCTCCCCTCCGCTCCCTCTCTCCGCCTTTCCCGCCCTCTCCCGGCACGGCTCGTCCCGCCGCCCCTCGCCGGGGCCATCCCCTCGCCTCCCGTGCCCGGCCCGCCGCGGTCTCGCCTCCGCGGGGTTTTCACCCTACGGGCTGTGGCGCTGCTGGGCGGGCCGCCGCAGCAGCACCGTCTTTTGGCTCCGCCTGGCCCGGGTCCTGTCCCCGCCCCGGCTGCGGCTCCTCCCGGAGCTGCTCCGGCCCCGCCCGGGGTCGCTCCGTCGCTGCTCCCGGCCAGCCCCGCTGCCGCCCAGCTCCCGCCGCCTCCTTTGCGGGCTCCCCGGCCCGAGCTCCGCCGCTCGGCAGCTCGGCCGCCCGCCCCGAGCCGCCCGTGTCCGGTGCAGCAGACCGGGAAGCAGAGCCCCGGGAGGTTGGGGCCCTCGGGCGGAACGCGGGGAGCGCAATGTCTCCCGCACGGCCGGAGAAGCATCCCCTGGAGCAGCTTTACCGGGAGGGCCCGCTGCTGGGGAGCGGCGGCTGCGGCAGCGTTTACTCGGGGTCACGCCTCGCGGACGGCGCCCCGGTAAGAGGCAGGGAGGCGTCGGAGGAGAGAGGAGGGCGGCAGGCAGCGAGCTCAGCCCGGCGCTCCTTGGCTTGCAGGTGGCCATCGAACGCGTGTCTTGGGATCGCATCTGGGAGTGGGTCAGGCTGGTGAATGAGCGGGGCCAGAGGAAGAAGCTGGGGCGTGCCGGACGGGGATGCAGCGAGGCCCGGGAGGGTGGAAGCCGGGACGCTGCTGGGGGAGCGGGCGAGGGATCAGCGGGAGCCGCGGAGCATCCCGAGCCGGGGAATGTCCAGCAGCGGTGGAACTGGGCAGGGGGCCAGTGGGGCATCGCCTGGGCTGGGAATGGGCAGCATCCACCTGATGAGCTCTGCTTGTGTCCCATAGGAACACCAGAGTACAGCCCACCAGAGTGGATCCTCTTCCACTGCTACCGTGGCCATTCAGCAACAATCTGGTCCCTGGGTATCCTGCTCTATGAAGTGGTCTGCAGGGACCTTACTTTCTACAGTGATGAGGACATTGTCCGGGGCCAGCTTTTCTTCCCATCCACGTGTCTCATGGCATTAAGAAGCCAAGAAAAGCAGACGGTTTCCCTGTGACTGTAGCAGAGTAGGGAGCACAGCTGATGAGATGCTTCTGCCGGTGCTGGGGGAAGTTGTGGAGGAAGTGGCTGAGCGCTCTCCATCGTATTTGAGAAGTCTTGGCAGTCTGGTAAAGTTCCCACACACTGGAAAAGGGGAAACATTCCCCCTGCATCTTAAAGGCATCGTGGTCCTCCTGCAAACTGGGGCACAACTGTGGTGTCCTGGAACATGACATCAAGCTGGAGAATGTCATCGTGAGATATGGGCACCAGTGGGGCGAAGCTGATTGGCTTTGTTTGCAGCACCTTCCTTGAGGACACGCTCTGCACCCAGATGAAAAAAGATGAAAGATGAAAAAGACCCGGTCGGGGCTGGGGGGATGCTCCCAGTCCCAGGCATTGAGGGCTCAGCCTGGCTGGGCACCAGAGGTTCCCTGCTTTGCTGGGGTTGAGGAGAGTGGGATTAATTTTTCAGCTGGCTGCCAAGTAGCTTTTTGGTGGGGGAGAGGGTGGATATTATGGAATGGGAACCATGCTGACTCTTGGCCTTGGTGACAGCCTCTGCCAGCCACCCTGGCCCAGGCTGGGGAAGCCAGCCCGACAAAAACATGGCAAGGTGGCAGAGGACGGAGTTCCGCACCCACGTGCCGGCCGTTTTCATTTGCAGGCCCTTGAGGAAGGGCTGGGAAAGTTGGGATTTTTCCCTGCCTATGGGAAGCTTTATTCCTCGCTTGGAGTAGTCAAACCTTCCCCAGGCCTGTGATACATTGATAACATTTTACATTATTCTTGTTTCCAAGTCTTGGTTTTAATTTACTTTCATGCAATTGTTATTTGTTTTTTAAAGGAAGATTCTACCATGTGCCTGGACCAGACTGGGAAGTGCTGGGACTGTGGAGTGGATTGATCCCACTGCCAGTGCTACTCTGGCCATGACCCTTCAAGACGGACAAGAACATTATCTGGGATCAGCTTCTCTTCCAGCAGTGGGTCTCTTGAGGTGGGTACCCAGCTTCATGGCATGGGTGCCAGAACGGGTTTTGGAAGATGGCAGCAGGCACACGAGCATTCTGCTCTTGCAGAATCAACTGAGGAGGTTGATCTCCCATGGTTAGCTGGAGGAGGTGGCTGGCACATCCTGCCATCCTGCTCTCCTCCAAAACAGAGAATGGACTGGGAGGTCTGGGCTCTGAGCACACCCAGCGGCATGGCCTGGGCACTGCGGACAGTGGGACAGGGTGGACAGGAGCCTTCTCCCACTGTCTGTTGGCTTCTGGTTTCTCTCCCCAGGGGCCCAGCACCTCATCACATTGAAACAGCATCATCGGCCTGCAAATTTGGGGGGCAGGGGGGTGTTTATTTGCTGTCAAAAATAAATCTTTTTTTTTGTAATCAGAGTGTTTCTTTTGTCCTTTTCCAAGCTTTTGGTCCCCTGGGTAATCTTTTTGCGTCCTTGTTCACCTGCTTTATTGCCATTGGGAAGGGGTTAAGCAACCTGAAAAATTAAACAGCTCCTGTTTGAAACTGCAGCAGCCACTTGAGTGACCTCGAACTGCCACCCAGGCACTCATGCATTCAAAAGGCGAGTGGCTTGGAGGGATGGAATTCTTGCCCCACTGCAAAAGCTGCAAGGAAATCAGAAGCAGCTCAAGCCCTGCCTAAAGTGTTTCATCTTCCTCCACCCCCAGAATGGGCAGGCAGAGCTGGGCTCCTGCAAGGTTCAAGTTTGAGTGCTTTGTGCTCCCTGTCTCCCTGTGCTTCCTGATTGGAATAGGGTTGCTGAAGGAGGGAAGGGAATCTCAGGAGACAGGAGAGTCTCTTCTCCCCTCCCCTTTCTCTCCTCAGGAGCCCCTCTGAAAGGTACATGCCTACACTGGGTTTACATCTGACCCCTTCCCCCGCATGCCTTCAGTGGTGGGGATGGATTTTGTGGAACAGGATCTGGCTGGGACTGGTGCTGGGGGAGCCAGCCCGACTAAAACAAACACCCGTGGAGGGTAGCAGAGAGGGGGTTCCTGCCAATTCCTCAAGTTTTCCTTCAAAACTACTTTTTACTATTTTTACTATTTCAGCACTTTCTCTGGGTCCCTTTGGGTGAGTAACCATCACAAACCCTCGAACCTTTCAGGTACTACCAAAGCAGAACTTTTTCATGCTCTTTTCTCCTTGTGATTGTATAGTCTTGTCAAGACTCTGAAAGCAAACTGATGCCGTAGGCAAAAGATGGACATTGGAATCATACAGCAATTTCAGTATGTGTTTGTATCTGCTTATCACAGCCTTCGGGTGAGCACAGCGAGGTCAAGCCCTGGCGCCCTCAAGGTGGCGCCAGGAATCCGCCAGGGCGGGAGAGGGAGTGACGGGAGGGAGAAGGTGGATTTCACTGGAGCTGCGGGCAAAATCGTCTCCGGGGGGACGTGAAGGCAGAGAGCCACTGGGGATCTCTGTGGCGCGGGTGGCAAATCCCTCGCTGGCTCCCGGAGCCGGTTTCAGGGCTGTGAGCTGGCAGAGATGCCGGGCTCTGCTGTGGGAGCTTGTCCTCTCAACCTCTTGCGAGCCCATTGTACCAATTAACCCAGACGCGAGCATGACACCCATGCCCCTATCTCTGTCAGCCCTCAGGCTCCCAGAACATCACATTTGCTCCTCTCTTGGCCTTCTGGGAAACACGACGTGCTGAGATTTTTTTTGTCTTCTTTGCCTTGCCCCAGAGCAGCAGTGTTACAGAAAGGACCCTGGGTGTCAGTGCTGAGATCAGATCCACGGCTTTGTTAACTCTGCAAAAAACATTGTTTAGCAAGAGCAGCTCAACAGACAAGGGCTCGATGGAAGAGGGGACTGCCCCTGCTGTGCACTGCCAAGGAATGGGAAAGGCTATTTGGCGTCTCGCCTGGTAACAAAATATGTGGGTGTTCCACGGAGAGGTTCTAGGCCAGCAAAGGGAGGTATGGCCTTTTCTCTCTGGTCGGGTCGAATTCAGGCAAAAGGCCCAGCAGCTGCAAGAGAGCTTAGCAGCATGGTTCCCTTAAGACATCTGCTTTCCTGAACAACCAGCTTACCCCAGAACCTTAATACTACTATTCCACAACCTCTTCTAACTCTGCCATGGGGCCACTGTCATTCCTGGGAGTGCAGAAGTCTGAGGCACAGAAAAGTAAAATGACATCCCCAAAGTAATTTCTATAGGTAGAAAAAGAAATTTAATTGAGTCTTCTGCATGCCAGGTGCAGGATGAGCAGTAAAAAGCATTGGGTCTCTACTTTCCCAGCCTCAAGATATCGAAAAGCCAAAGTAAGCTTTGTCACTGGAAATACAGGGAGTCCAACAGCTATAGAGGAATAGAAGCAAGAGTAAAAATGATCTGGCACAGATTTTATTACCAATGTTTGTAGGCTGCTAATTTTTTCACAGCTGTGACCATTTCCACCCCAAAAGGTGGTTACGTCCCCAAATCCTTCTATCCAGGAAAAAACAGGGCTGAAACTGCCATGAAAAATATGCTTCACCTCTAGACTCAGCCAGAAGACAATTCTCTGTCCAGAATTGTCTGTTTTCAATGCGAAAAAGGATCACCTATTCCTGCTTAAAAACAGAAACTTGTTGCTGAAATAAATTTCTGTGGCTTTAACTGGCCACAGAGATAGCCCTTGTATATAATTGTGTTAGGTTGGAAAAGTCTCGTTTTTACCAGTAAATTCTCAGTAAATAAATCAGGGTAGCTGCAGTATCGAGACACAAAGTAAGGAGATGGATATCTGCTTTTCTGTCTAGACCTTTCTGTGACTTGCCAGAGGGTTGCAAGAGCTAAGAGTGGCATTGGAACCTTTCCAGAACCAGCTGCTGGAGGTAGAAGGAGAAGTGGGTAATGTGGTCCCTGCATTACAGCTAAAGTGTTATCAATGTGGTATGCACCGAGTGAAACACAGTCTTCCTCACTTCTTAGTGGACCAGACACCCTGCAGAGGATGTGTTCCTGGCACTTACAAATGATCCATGCCACCTGGAAAGAAATTTTTTCTTATGTGCTGTACTCTGGAACAGCTATGCACTTCCTTCTCATGTTCCCCACACGCACCCTGTTTTCACTCCTTTTCACTTGTGCAAGGTATGCACAAAGCAAGGAGATCAGTACTTGAACTATCCATATCAGCTAATGGTAATTTATTGTTCCCAATAATTGTTCTCTGTTTGGATCACACAGGAAAAAGTGTAGAGCAGTAGGACCTCAGGATTCACACGAAACACGCAGCTTACTGACACTGAAATGCTAATTCTTCAACTTTGACTTGTTTTGCAGGGGCAGTTTTCTGATTAACTCATTTCCTGTGAGCAACTGTTTAGAGAAAAAAAGCACACCAGCAATTTGGATCACAAGATGACTCACTCTGATCTCAAATTCCTTTGCCTTTCTCTGAAAGTTTAAAGAACTGAGAAAGTCACAGACTTCTTAGGCGATGGAGGGCCCAACACCTATGATGCAAAGCCAACCCATCACATGTATTTCCTTCAATGAAAATATGAATACAGACATCATTGAAGAAACTAGTTTTGGTCAAGGACAATAAATGTATTTCAAGCATGATTACAAGTAAACAAAATTCAATTAAAGACTTAACATTAGACTGGGGGAACAAAAGCAAGCACATTTGCCCTTTGCAATAAACTGCAACAAGTAAAATTGACTCTGGATCACTTTTGATGAAGCTAAAAAGGTAAACTGAAAAAAACCCCATACATCACTCATGGTCACATAAAGGTTTCAGCAAGAATTCAACAACTCTGCTTTTTAAATGAAGCAATTGCCCCCGAGTTTGTCCCACGATCCCACAGATATCTGTCTCCTTCACTGATTAGTGAAGATCAGCTCTTAAGACTGCAGGTCTGGGGTCCTTGGCTAGCATTTCAAGCACTGAGGAAACCAGTGCTAGTTCTGTGGACTGAATCCCTCCCTGAACCACAAGCCTGAGGAGGGGGGCATGAGACTGCAGCATGCAAAGTAGAAAAGCACTGTCAGCACACATCAGTGCTGTTGTTTGTGAAAATGCAAAGCTCAACTCAGGCATACATGCCTGAAGGCATAACATGCAGTGAAGAGGAAACTGCCACATTTAACAGAGATCATGAGTAAAAAGAAGAAATGGGGACTCCTCTGGATGGAATATTTAATCTCTGGAAAGAAAATTTAAAATTTAAATTTTAATTTAAGCTTTCTATGAGTAGCCTACTCAGTGAAGCCCAGTATCCTTCTTTTCGTAAGTGCTAGTTCCAAGCCCTGCCTAGTTCTGTTTCTACCAGACTCAGGGTGCTATTATATGAGCTGAGCACGGGCTGTTAGCTCCAAGACCCAATGCTGGTAAACTTGCAGAAGTGCAGTTTTACCAGACTGAGGCTGCCCAGCACAAGCTGTGTCCACTGCAGAACACCATATTGGGCAGCACAACAGAACCACGTGCTCTCTTTGAATACCCTGAGGGGCTCTCTGAGCAGATGGACATCCCAAGGACCACAGCTCAGCTGTGGAAATGAGGCTTGGATGGAAAGGAACTCAAAGATCATCTAGTTACAATCCCCCTGCCATTGGCCAAAACACCTTTCACTAGACCAGACTGCTTCAAGACCCATCCAGCCTGCCCTTCAACACTTTAAAGGACGGGGCATCTTCAACTCCCTGTCCGCACCATAGCTGGCACAGCTATGTATTTATTGGGGTTCTGCAGCCGCCTGGTCAGACTGTAGCCTCCCTGGCAGACATGGTCCCTAAGTCCATGCAAGGTGGATGCAGGTGAGGGAGTGCGCCTATCTCCTATTTTCCCTCAGCAGAGGAACTGGATGACAAATGTCTCAATGCACCAAAGCACACTGCTCCTCACACAGCTAGTGTTTGTAAAACAGTTCAGATGAATTAAACCATGTGTCTCTGACCACTGGGTCACACCTTAGCATGGAAATTTCAGGTAACAAGGCAAGAAATTCTATGTTCATAACATAGGAAATGCTTTCTTGACTAAAAGTGTGTAATCTTGTTCAGAAGTAATTTTTCTTCCTCCACACTGTATTTCAGACTGCGTGGAGACAACTTGTTTAAACAAGGGAGTCTACCTTTTCTGTCAAAAACATTAACTCTTGTCTTCTTCCTACTTGAAAATTACTTAAGGGAGTGGGTTGTGTTTTTTTCTTTTGCAATGGCAGTTAAGTAGTGTCTATCTCCAATCCCGTCAACTCTACCAAACTTTCTGATCTTCAACTTCCCAGAAAGTCCACAGGGTGTCTACTTACCTTACATAAAAAAGGATTGCAGTCAGAAGGATGGGATATTTAACAAAGTGTGGTATTCCCTACTGTATTACCCAGTCCCTAGAGACATTTAAAATAATTTTTTTAAAAAAGCAAATTCAACTAGTGTCCTTGAAAGAACTCTGGGATCTAAGACAACATACCTGTCTTCAAGAACACATCATCCTTCGAGCAGCCTGCTTCCCCATGTGGTAGCAGAATGTCTGCTGGCCAAAAAAATTGACCACTCCCTTCCCAGTCCTACCTGCCTTTCCTGCCTCCAGTTAGGTGCATAAATTGTCTTTCCAGTACAGAGTCCCACTGGAAGCATCAGTGTTGCTCATATTAAATTCAGGAATAAGTCACCCCTGTAAAACTAGGGCAAAAATTGGCAATTCTGCCAGTGCTCAGGGGGTTGTTAGGCTAAAACAAAGAGCTCCGTGAAACTAAGCAGACTGTCATCTCAGAAAGACAGAGGCAGAAATGCAAGGTTTGATGGAGTGGCCACAGCACTGAAATGGTGGTTAGCAGCCTCTTGGCTTAGGGAGGTTAAGATGGAGAAGTTCTGCCAGAGCCCTCGTAGCACACACTCCCAGGATCAGCACTGCATGCTATGCTGGTGTACACCTTGAGCTTTTGCATCAGGGAGAGAGGGAAGGGAGCCTCTACCATGCTTCTCTGATATGCTCTGTGGTCCCTCCAATCACCACGAACCCATCAGCCCGTTTAAACCTAATTTAGGAGTGGCAGAAATACCAAATGCATTTGGCACCTACAGGTTTTTCCATGACCTTCAGTGGCGTAGTAGAGGAAGATCTACTAGCAAGTTCTTCTGAACAGCCCAAATATGGAGTGCTTCAACTGAGATGATAAAACAAGTCCAGAAATAAAACACTGACTTTATTAGCTGCAATTCTGAAAGCATATGAAAAGACAAAGACTTTTCTTCCATGCTATTCTGAGGCTGCTGGTCTGGAATGCTAGTATTGCTTTCCAAAAGGCATCTAAAGAGGCACTTTTTTTTTGTGGACTGTGCAGTTTGTGGGTACCCACATGGCACTTAACTCTTTGGAAAATCAGCATGGCAGTATGCAGAAGAGGCAGACATGGTAGGGCCCACTTGAAACAATAAGAATTGTCATAACTTCCAACAGGAGAACGAACCTACCTCAGCCTGTCTTTGTTGGAGCAAACAAGATTACAAGGCATTTTGGAGTGGGCTAAAGTAAGTATTTCTTGGTCAGAAAATACAAAGCCTGGCAAGCCACAATGAACCCTCCAGCACAACTCCTTCAGCTTCAAACCTCTCCTGAGTGCTTCAGGATTTAATTTCCCAGTGCTTCTCTCACAGACAGAAAACAAACAGCACCCCTTTTCATAGCAACCTCAAGAAACAAAGACACTTGCACAAATCACAGACTGGAAACAAAGATCTACCATTTGCAGACCACCACTACTAATATGCAGAAGTGAACCACAATGGACAACATTGAGTCATTACTGATGAGGAAGAGGACAGTTATTTTATAAGCTCGGTTGGCGATCTCGATTTCTCAAGGCACAATAAGAACATGTGAGACCAAGTCTCTCCTACATAACTGGTAATGCATTGAGGACATGTCAGAAGTCCAGTAGTAGCTTTGTGGCTCAGCTTTGCAAGGGCAAGTGCTAGTGCTGGGTTTACCTAGGTGCAACACGAAGGGACACAGACTCGCCATCTCTGGTAAATCCCAAGACACATGGTGGTAGGAACAAATTCATATGAGGAAAGCCAAAGGAGGTATTAGAATAACTGGGTAAAGTCAAGGAAGAATTATCAGATTAGCCATGTCCTTCTCATTTCCCCAATAATGCACATGAAATATCTCCTAGAATACGCAGCACTGCTGAAAAGGTACTACAGTTGCAGTGAAATACAGCTGCCTGAACTCAGATATCCAAGCTGAAGGAAAAACTGAAGAACTGTACTCCACGTTTTCTTTTAAAACAGCAAGAAGTATTGTATAAAAAACATTTCCCTGTACAGTAATATTACAATGAGAAACATTAACATCTGCATCTTTCTTCAGCTAGTATTAAATTTCATCAGAGCTAATGGAAACCACCAATGGCTGCTCTACAACACCCCTAAAAGCAATGAAAAGGAGCTCACTGACTGTGTGAAAGTGCAGACTGGTCCTAGCCCTGTGCATCTCAAAGGATGTGGTGGAGTGGGAAATCTTGTTCCCCTAGAAGGAAACAGGTTTTAAAAAAACACAAAGAGAGAAGTATGTCATTTGCCTGGTTGTTTGAGACCTTCCACATTTCTGAAAGAGACAGATCCCAGGGATGCCCGTTATGAGGAACTCTTCTCCTTGTATTTCTGGTAAGCATCCAATATCTCCTTAACAACACTTGGATCATCAAGTGTGGTGACATCTCCCATATTGTTTGATTGTTCAGTGACTACTTTCCTCAGCAGCCTTCTCATGATCTTCCCTGATCGGGTTTTAGGGAGACGTTTCACCACCTGCAAAGAAGGGAAAAGACACACCTGTAACAGAACCTAAGTCCTGCTGGAAACCACAAGGAAATTTGGCTGAACTGTCCTAAGCATGGCACACTATTTCATGGCCACAGCTCCTTTGAGGCTCCTGGGAAAAAGACCATTGATCACGCTAGTTTATGTCCAAGGAAAGGAGTGTAACTAGTATCAATTCCTCGTGCTATAAATTTTAATTCTTACTTTCAGTGGACTTTGTTCCCCATTGCCATGTATGTCCAGACTGGATGCTGCAGGACACACAGCTCTTTTGGGAATCAGGTCCTGAATAAGCTGTTAACTATTGAAAACTCAGGCACTAATGGTGACACAGATCTCAATGCCTTACCAGAGCATACAGATATATGTATTCCCCCTTACAGGGCAGGAATATAAAGCATACAATTCTGCACACCAGCTACAGGGTCTCCTACTCAGGGGATAACTCCTGTCTGCTGATGTTTTTCTCTGCCTGGTTATATCTGTCAGCCTACACACCTTCCTTCATAACCAGAACAATGTTAAATGCCTTGGCTACGCCTCGTGCAACGGACTTAGTAGCAGATTCAAAGGTTTTAGCATAAATCTGAACCTGGTGAAGAGTTTTCAGGCACTGAACAGAGACACTAGCAGGTCTCATATTTTACTACATGATTCGGCCAGTAGGCCACAAAACTCTAAAGCATTAACTAACATGCAAGGTGAGAGTTACAGGACTTCTCTGCAGGACTACCCCTAAACACAGGGAAACAGAGGCATTTCCTTGCAAACCTGCAAGTTCTGGAAGCTTCTCCAATCCACTGAGGGTACCTTGGACTGTACCCAATGAGCCACCCTTGCCTGCTCCTGTTATATTCTTTCCTGTGCCTTGGTGTCCACCTTACAAGCATGTGGCTAAAGCAGAACCCCTCAAAGAAGTGGTGTCACTGCCTCCAAGCAGAATGAAAAGGATGCAGGCAGGCCTTGGGGGACAGCTAAGAGGCAGCTTTGTGAACTCTCCCCTACCACACAAAGGGAGCTGCTGAGAGATGAGGAGGCTTGAAACTGAGCCTGGAGCTTATCAGTGCTTCCAGTGCCAGGCTGAACAGCTTCCTGTTATCAAACAGAAAACAGCCAGTGCTTTGAGATCTGAGGCTGATGCTAATTATCAATGCAAACTAGCTGGGCAGCGAGAAGTGTCACTGCCTCTCAGTGACATTGAAGGTTGTGGCGTTTGGTTCATTGCACAGGGCCACAGAGAGCAGTGCTGCATTGCTTCAGCTAAGGGAGAGAGCTGTACACAGCAGCAACACTGCTGCACAGTGAACAGGGACATCAAGCGTGTACTGAAACACATGGTAGCCCTGGAGTTTCCCTCTGCAAGAGCTCCCCAAGCACAGTGCTCTCAACACTCTGTGCATACCATTTAAGGGGTTGTTCAGCACTCAAGGAGCAGCCTCAGGGAAGCTCTAACACACACTCTTTAACAGCCCCACTGAGAAGCTGCTCTCAGGCTGGAGCAGCTGTGAAATCCTAGCCACCTCTAGGTCGCTGCCGATACTCGGGCACGGAAAAAGCAGCACAGGCAGACCACTGCACCTGCCCTCCCCTCCCTAGGATCCCTCCAGCTAGTTCTGTTTTCCTGCTTCTTTGTCCTGCCAGAGAACAACAGCAGCGGCACTGCAGGCAGGAAGGTAAGGCTTGCTCAGTGTGACCATTCCTGCTCCTCGTACCAGTTTCAGTCTCCCACTCACCAGAATGTGGTCAGGCACAGCATATTTTGCTATCTTGGAAGCTACTATGGTTTTGAGCTCTTCTTTGACACGGTCTACGTGAGCCACCTGCTCCTTTAGCACTACGAAAGCAAAGGCACCTGGAAGACAAATGAGCAGAAGTCACAAATCTCACATTAGATACTGGTTGGCAAGACCAGAGATGCTAATTTTTGAATTGAATGCCAAGGCCAGTTTCAAATCATTCCTATGCACAATGTAGGGACTGACAAGAAAACCACAGATCCTGTTTTACAAAAGTGAGTCAGACCCCAACCCTCAAATGATGGTCCAGCCTTTTCTTGGCATCTCTGGATCAGACTGATCTCAGTGACAACCACAAGTCAACAAAAGTACCATTGTGATCAAGAGCTGGCCAACAGAAATCAGCTATTTCCCATTCTGTTCAAAGGACATCTCTAAGCACAGTCCTTTAAAAGGAAGCTCTACCCTATACATAAACACTATGTGCTCCAACAGTTTAGGGAATAACATCTGCACCCAGTTGAGGAAATTTTTCATGGCTGTCTTTGCCTCTTGGGGCTGAAATACGAGTCAGGCTAAGGATAACTGCCCTCCCATTCCCTAAGCATCTCCTAACATACACTTAGGTTAGAATTTAAGGGAAGTGTATGCAGATGTTGTTTCAGGACACTGCTTTTCACATACCTTCTCCTTTGATCTTATGTGGATACCCAATCACAGCTGTCTCAGGGACCTCAGGGTGATCAGCCTTCACAAAAAGTTAAAAAAAAATACACAGATCATAAAGTCCTACAGAGTTTGCTCCAGTAGCTGTAGCAATAAAACATCTTACCATATCTTGCTCTCCCCTTGACAGATCCTGCTGAAAGCACAACAGGAAAACTGGATGCTGACTTTCTACTGCATAGCCATGGCCACGTATCAGGGAGTAGCCCTGCACTAGCCCAGATTTTATACACCAATTAAGTACTCTTACATCCATTGCTAAGGCCACTGCACATCAAACTGAATTTGCAACAGCTGGAAACCTGCTTTCTCCTTCTTTGTGTGTGACTATGGTCTCAGGTCCTGACTAGCCACAGCCAAATCAGCACAAGCAAAACCAGTTTCTGCAATGCTCAGTGCTACAGGAAACTGTGGCCAGCAGAGCAAAACTGAAGCTGCCAACATCACAGTCCACATTTTACTGGTGTTTATAAGTGCCCAAAGTCTATCACAAGGCAGAAATCAGACTGCTTCGTCCTCCCAGAAGAGAGAAGGTTGCTTTGCAATTGCATTTTTATTCTTATGCCACACTGCAATGATTTCTTCTGTTGCACTTCAGAGTTCAAGTTAATGTTCTTCTACAGTAAGATGACAGTTTGGGTGCACAGACCAGAAGAAATCACATATCTGAATCTCACATCAAAGAATGGATTATGTTATCTTAAATTAGATAAAAATATGAAAGGAAACATCATACAGCAATCTAAGCATACAAATATATTTGCATATAAACATGCATACACATCCATACATTGTGAGAGGAACTGGATCCTATAGCTGTGATCAGAAACCCACACAGACAAAAGAATTACTTTTGGAGTAGGAGAAAGTAGAATCTGGTGTTCCATGCAAACACAGCTAAGGTTTATCAGATGTTACATTTAAGTGACATTTGCAGGCAACGCACATAATATAGAAATAAATATTCAGGTCAAGCTTTAAAGATAAATGCTCTGAGGACTTTTTGTTTTCAATTCTCTGAGCTAATATTATTTTCTCTCAAAATGACAGGTAAGTTTTGCAGCTGACATAAATCAAGGTTGCTTTATGTTGAACACTTCTGAATTCTCAGGCATATTCAGCTAATTTGGATGAGCAAGAACCACAGGTATGGGAAGGAGAGGTCAACTGTTAGCAGAGGAGAAGGAACAAATGGGAGAGAGATTTCTGGAGGGTCCATCAGCATCCAAAACAACAACTGCAACAGTACAACATCACTGAGAGGAAACATAGCCCTGACAGTTCGACTGCAGGGACTGCTCACAGTGTGACTCCTCTCTCACTTGCTCATTTGTTGTCCCCTAAATAAAAGGGAACTGTTTCCTCTTGCACATTTGCTATGCATTGTGCATCAAGCTGTCTGTATGCAGGGGCAGGGGTTTGAAGGCAAGAGACCTTGAATTTGTTTAAATTCACAAAGCTGCTTTGAAAGGGTTACTGTACCCCACAGATATGCCCTGTCAAGGGACTTCTACCTGCTTGGAACTTACCATTGCATCTTCTATCTCTGCTGTCCCAAGCCTGTGCCCACTGATGTTAATGACATCGTCCGTGCGCCCTGTTATCTGGTAATAGCCTTGCTTGGTCCTGTAAGCACCATCCCCTGTGAAGTAGTAACCTACAGCAAAGACACACAGGTAGTCAGCAGCAGGAAGTGTGCCTGCCTATTGTTTTGGGCTCTGGTGCAGAACTGACTATGCTCTAGAACAGCAAGTAGGGCAGGTTGGATCGGGCAGCTCACAGGCCCTCCTAAGCTTACAGCTGTGTGACCTGCCTCACACCATTTCCCACTTCCATCTGCCATCCCTGACCTTAGTCTGCTCTACCTGGGCTGTGCTGGCTCCTATAAACACCTGAATAGCACCAAGACAGTGGATCTCAGATCTCTGCCAAGATGGACAAAATCACTGTAGGCAATCAGCAGCAACACGTGGCTGGTAGTAAAACCAAGTCCAGCAACACAACACAGTGATGCATAGTTGGATTTACAGAACCAAGGGAGGCTCTCTGATCTCCCTAGGCTTTATATGCCTACAGCTGCACAGCAACTGCGTGCTCAGGCCTGGTGCATACAGCACTAAGTTAAAACCACTTCTAATGCCATTTGCCATCATGCCACAGGTTATTTGTCAAACTCAGGTCTGCTGCTAGCTACACTTCGGGACTCATAGAAAACTACAACTGCTCAGCTGAAAGGGAGCAGTTCTATTATGTTTTGTACATGGGAACACTGCCAGTTATTTTAATCATTTACACTGGGATGGATGAAAAGCCATTTTTCCTCCTGGCTAACAAAGATTCAGATTCCAGATAAGAGTCCCTCTCCAGCATATAAGTGTAGAATAAACACTGTTATTAGATTAGCTAAAAATAAACCCCAAACCCACCCCATGATAAACATGGTGTTCAGAGAGTCTAAAACATTTGATGGAAACTGAAAAAGACCCAGCATTTCCTGGAAACTCCAGTGTCACTGAGGACACATCTGGATTGTGTTGGCTTTTCACCAAAGCTATGTCTGCATCTGAATAGTTCCAGTGACACATCTGAGCAGCAGCAAGTAGCTAGTGCTGTGAAATCTGAAGGTGATTCTTGCAAGATGTGTTACTGGCCAATTCATGGATTTTCAGTCGTCATCTGCCCTTCCAGATCAATTAAACAACTGTCTACTAAATATCAACAAGACATCAGATGCAAATATGTATTGAGCAATATGGGATTATGGGATTATTCAATTTCTTGTACCAATTTCCCATTCTTATTATCCAACCCATTTTGTACAATTTTCAGGACTGTCTCTCTAGTTATTGCCTACCCCTTTTTAATCCCTTTCAGTTGTTCTCCTGAGTGAAGACAGTGGTCTTTCTTGTTCAATCTCCTAAAAGAAAAGTTTCCCTGCCACTTCTAATTACTTCCAGATGCAACTTGACCACATTTCAAAAATGCAGCCTGTGACAGCAGGTGTGAGATTGTGATGCAGGAGGTATTTTCCCATTAAATATGCCTATTTCCAAGTGGGACACAAAGCTCCAAAGAAAAGTACTTGGACTTTAAAGCTTAGGCATTAAAGTTTTCTAAAAAACACATGCCCTTTTGACAGCTATAAAGGTCAACACTACTTAAAATCATCAGTGCATGCTTACAACATGTGACACATACCCCAAGCCACCATGATCTGGATAGTACAGAAATATGAGAAAGTACTGCTGAAAATATTCAGCGTGCTTGTACTGCAGTGCAAACTGCCTTCTCCCTTGGCACTTTCCTTACCTGGGTAGGCTCTGAAATAGACATCAACAAATCGCTGGTGATCTCCATAGATTGTTCTCGCCATGCCAGGCCACGGCTGGGCAATGCAGAGCGCACCGGACACATCATTGCCCTCTATAACCTTTCCCTGCAGGTTTGAGCACAGAAAGGATGATCAGGTGAACAAAATAGGAACAGCAAGGGCTTCTGTGTCATTGATCTGGCAAGAGTCACCCTGTTGCTCAATGCAGACTGCCAGTGTAAGGCCACAGATGGAGAAAATTAATCCACTCATGGAGCTATTATGCATTGCACTGTCTGTATTGTGCCTTCCTCACCCCTTGAGGCCAGCAGCACAACAGATAAGAATAAAAGAAAAGTTAGTCTTGTGATTTTCCACAGGGCAATTCCAGCAAAGATGTGCCAAGCAGCCAGAGGATGCCTGGGATGAGGCTAGATGAGAAATACCTGGACATCTGCCTTCCACTTTCACTTTTGGTAATTGCCACGTTCCCTTACCAAACTATGTGGAAGAAAACACATGTTTTACTATTTAACAGAGCTCTGAAGTGCAGATGGGGATCATCCACACAGCTTCACAGACTAGCACCAGTTTTCTCACAGACATGCAGGGCCTCATGCCTTGCATTTCCTTTGGAAAACTCCAGCGGTCCTGTTGGCTGTTCCAGTCTTGCCACGTCACTGGATGTTGCATGCACTGTTCCAACTGTTCAGCTCCGTGGTTCCCAGGAGCTGTGAGTCTTCTGATTTCTCTCATAAATGGAGGCAGCAGCTCTTCACTGGAAGTAGTGCAAGACCATAAAAGTGGTGCTGAAAATGTAAACAACTCTTCTAGACATTTGCTGAGATCTTGCAATGCCCAGCTGCCAAATCTGTGTGGGCAAATCTGTATGCTCAATATATATATATAAATTGTTCATCTATTCTACCATTTTAATGGAGAAACAAGCATCCTTCTGGATCCTGTTCCTTTGCCATCTGAAAGGTGATTAAGGCAGAAACACATACCAGCTTCTCTTTTGGGCACCCAGCACAGCTTCAACTCACATTCTCATCCATCAGCACAGGCACAATCCCAAAGAAAGGTCTCATAGCCATAGCTGGAACGATCTCAGCTTTCTCCTCTGAAGGCCGTGGGGCAATGCAGATGCCACCAGTTTCTGGAAGACCAATGATATACAAATGAACCAAATATATAGTCCATTCAATGCTGGATGAAAGCAAATTCCAGCTCTTCTTAGGTCGAGAAGCAAACAGAGAAGCCACTTTGCAAGAAAAAGCCACTTGGAAGGAATTATGCAACACCAAGAAGCACAGCAATCTGAAAGCAGCACAACCCTGAAGTGAGCTGTAACTCACCCAGCCCCATTTCCTACACCAGAAGTGATTTTACAGGGAAAGCATAAGCATGTCAGGGGATTTATCTCCCACTGGTGCTTCTACAGCTGTCTAAGGTTAGCACAAAAAGCACTGCATTTCAGAAGTCTAAATTACTATTATTACAGAGTAAGAGATTAACCCATCCCTTACATGTAAGTTGAGCTTATCTTCTAGTGAAAATTGAACCTTTCAATCATCCTTTTTCATTCCTGCTGGGATGAACATTAAATCAGATCCCAACCTTAATGAGATCTTTTCTATTCTAAAACTAATTCAGAAACACAAGAGCGAAACAAAACCACAGAAGGCTTTTAAAAATACAACTCAATAAATAAAGGTATGTTCTGCCACATGAAGAGTGCATTCCTCTACCAGCTTTGCTGAGGTTGTGAAACAAGGGGTTGGAAAGGCTGAATTTGACCCCAAACTTGGATCCAGCTGCCCTGATGTAGCTATGAGGAAGGTTCTCTGAGGGTCTCTAAACTTTAGACATGCAGCAAATAGTTTCACATATGGCTTACACATAGAATTACTCCCCATTTCACTGATAGGCATGCATCCACTTCATGTTTCTGTTTATTTTGAAAAGAGGCACTCGTACTTTTTCAGGAAAAAGCACGGCGGGCACCTGCCGTTCTCTGTTTGCACAGAAAAAAACTGCATCAGAACAGGGACCCTCATTAAACTGAAGGTTGCTCTTCCTAAGCTAGTACTGATCCCGAATACAACACTGCAAGCTATGCTTCAACATGGGGTTTCCCATATCCTACACATCCTGCAGCCAGCTGCACATAAAGTCACGTTCCAAAGGGATCTGTAAGGTAGCAAGGGTGCTTTAAAAATTATTTGCAAGGTGAAGACCTATTTTAAATTGTTCTAAAAGTACTAGTTTTAGCCATTGACCTATGAAAGGCTTCTAGGCTCTACCCTGCTCTTATGGAGCCTGTCTCTTCAGAGGCAGAGCTGGTAGAGAAATGCCATGCTTCCACATCACCTGTGCCCACACTGTGAACACAGTGCCAATCCACCTGGACTTTAGGCAAGGCCAGCAGAGTCTGAGCAGGAGATGGGGTGCATTCAAATAGACCATTGATAAATCGCACCTGGCAGCAGAGTGGAGTATGTGCTGTCTGCCACCACAGATAGACTGGACTGACCACTTTGGGGTTTCAGAAGCACCAGCCCAGTCTAAATTGCTGTAAGATCAGGCCAACAACAAAAGCTTGGCTCTATATGTTCGAGAGTCTCTTGACTCTGTAGAACTTGAAGTCAGTAACAATAAGGTTGAATGCCTGTGGATCAGACTCAGGGGAAAGGCCAACAAGGCTGACATCCTGGTAGGAGTCTGTAACAGACTGTAACCAGGATGATGAGGGTGATGAATTATTCTACAAGCAGCTGGCGGATGTCTCAAAACTGCCAGCCCTTGTTCTTTTGGGTGACTTTAACCTGCCAGATGTCTGCTGGGAACTTCACACAGTGGAGAAGAGGCAGTCTAGGATATTCCTAGAGCGTATGGAAGATAATTTCCTGCTCCAGCTGGTAAATGAGCCTACCAGGGGTGGGGCCCTGCTAGACCTGCTGTTCACAAACAGAGACGGGCTGGTGGGAGATGTGGTGGTCAGGGGCTGTCTGGGGCACAGTGACCATGAAATTATAGAGTTTTCAGTACTCAGGGATGCAAAGAGGGCCATCAATAAAACCTCCGTGCTGGACTTCTGGAGGGCAGATTTCGGCCTATTCAGAAGACTGGTTCAGAGTGTACCCTGGGAAACAACTCTTCAAAACAAAGGGGTCCAGGAGGGATGGACATGTTTCAAGAAGGAAGTCTTGAAAGCACAGGAGCAGGCTGTCCCAGTCTGCCAAAAGGCAAGTCAGCAGGGAAGATGACTGATCTGGTTGAACAGGGAGATCTTGAAAGAAATTAGGGTAAAAAAGAGAGCCTACTGATTATGGAAAAAAGGGCTGGCTACTCATGAAGAGTGTAGGAATATAGTTTGGTCATGTAGAAAGAAAATTAGAAAGACAAAGGCACAATTTGAGCTTAATCTTGCCATTTCTGTGAAGGATAACAAAAAGTCCTTCCACAAATACATCAATAGCAAAAGGAGGGGCAAGGAAAACCTCCATTCTTTATTGGACATGGGTGGGAATATAGCTATCAAAGATGAGGAAAAGGCTGAGGTATTTAACACCTCCTTTACCTCAGTTTTCAACAGTAAGACAGGTTGTCCTCAGGACAGCTGGCTTCTGGAGCTTGTAGAAAGAGATAAGAATCTGAATAGCCCCCCTGTAATCCAGGAGGAAACAGTTAGTGACCTGCTGAGCCACAAGTCTACGGGACCGGGTGGGATCCACCCAAGGGTGATGGGGAGCTGGCAGAAGAGCTTGCCAAGCTGCTCCCCATCATTTACCAACAGTCCTGGCTCACTGGGGAGGTCCCAGATGATTGGAAGTCAGCGAACATCACGTCCATCCACAAAAAGGGCTGCAAGGAGGACCCAGGAAACTACAGGCCTGTCAGCCTGACCTCAGTGCCTGGCAAGGTTATGGAGCAGATCATCCTAAGTGCAATCACACAACACCTACAGGATGGACAAGGGACCAGACCCAGCCAGCACAGGTTTAGGAAGGGCAGGTCCTGTCTGACCAACCTGATCTCCTTTTATGATCAGGTGACCCACCTGGTGGATGAGGGGAAGGCTGTGGATGTGTCTACCTGGACTTCAGCAAAGCCTTTGACACTGTCTCCCATAGCATACTCCTGAAAAAGCTGGCAGCTCACGGCTTGGACAGGGACACTCTGTGCTGGATTAGGAACTGGCTGGAGGGCCAGGCCCAGAGAGTGGTGGTGAACGGGGCTGCATCCAGTTGGCATCCGGTCACTGGTGGTGTCCTCCAGGGATCAGTGTTGGGCCCAGTCCTCTTTAATATCTTTATTGATGATTTAGATGAGGGGATTGAGTGAACCATTAGCAAGTTTGTGGATGACGCTAAGTTGGAAGGGAGTGTCGAGGCAGGAGAGCTCTGCAGAGGGACCTGGACAAGCTGGAGAGATGGTCTGATTCCAACAGGATGAGGTTCAACAAGGCCAATGCTGAGTCCTCCACTTTGGCCACAACAACCCCCTGCAGCGCTACAGGCTGGGCACAGAGTGGCTGGAGAGCAGCCAGGCAGAAAGGGACCTGGGAGTTTGGATTGACAGGAAGCTGAACATGAGCCAGCAGTGTGCCCAGGTGGCCAAGAAGGCCAATGGCATCCTGGCCTGTATCAGGAACACTGTGGCCAGCAGGGCCAGGGAAGTGATTCTTCCCCTGTACTCAGCGCTGGTGAGGCCACACCTGGAGTACTGTGTCCAGTTCTGGGCCCCTCAGTTCAGGAGGGATATTGAGGTGCTGGAGCAGGTCCAGAGAAGAGCAACAAGGCTGGTGAAGGGACTGCAGCACAAGTCCTATGAGGAGAGGCTGAGGGAGCTGGGGTTCTTCAGCCTGGAGAAGAGGAGGCTCAGGGGAGACCTCATCACTCTCTACAACTCCCTGAAAGGAGGTGGTAGCCAGGTGGGGGTTGGTCACTTCCCCCAGGCAACTATCAGTAAGACAAGAGGGCATGGTCTCAAGCTGTGCCAGGGGAGGTTTAGGTTGGATATTAGGAAGAAATTCTTTACAGAGAGGGTAATCAGGCATTGGAATGGGCTGCCCAGGGAGGTGGTGGATTCACCATCCCTGGAGGTTTTTAAGATGAGACTGGATGTGGCAATTAGTGCCATGGTCTAGTAACCACGGTGGTAGTGGATCAAAGGCTGGACTTGATGACCTCAGAGGCCCCTTCCGACCCAGCTGATTCTGATTCTATTTTATGATTCTATGATTCTATGATTTGAGGGCCTATTCAGAGATGTCTTTCAAAAACAGTTTTTGTTCATGGTTGTACTTTTTTATAAAACCAGTGACAAAAGTGAAAACACCTACTGTCTCTTCTGCACTGTAAAGAACTACACCTAAAACTCAAACACAGCTCTGATTCTGTTTTATTACTGTCAATCACAACACAGCACTAACTAACATCTTAATAATAAGAGCCATAGGAATCATTCATCTGTCTCATCTGCACACACCACACTATTTAAATTGCTTCTCATAACTGCTATCTCACTCATTTGCTCATTCAAAGACTTTCAAGCGGATTCTTAAATCACCATTTGCTGATCTATATGCCTACCAGGCTTTCTTAGCTGGCAACAGGTTGCTGCTTCAGAGAACATCATAGTGTAGAAGACACTGCATAGAGCAGCACAATTAACACGATACATTGATGATGTATCTGATAGGTGACACTGCAGGACCACAACCACCATCCATCAAACTGTTCCCATGATCTCTTTCCACACTCATTTTAACTTCAAATGGCATACATAATCTTTCCAAGATTAATTTTTATTAAAAGCATCAAGTGTGGAGCACGATTGAATCTACTTTCAAACAAAATCAATTTCATGAATATTCATCATTACATTATGCTTCCAGGAGCTGGTAAATGTTTACCTGAAAAACTATGCCTGATTCGAGGTAAGACCAAGCACTCTGCACTAACAGACTGCCCAGTGAATATTTTTTAACCTCTCACCTGATACTTGTTGCTCCAAAACCCCAGGAAAAATAGAATTAAATACAAGATCTAACCCTGTACTTTGAAGGAAACATAAGACACAGCATGCACACTGCATGTTCCAGTTAACAAACAAACCAAAAAATGTTAGGGCAAAAATGGATTCTTCTCAACTACATCAATGCACAGTAATCAACTGCTTCTCTATGGTATTTTCTTTCAGAGCAGTGATGAGGAAAGCACATGATGAGGAAAGACCTAGCCAATCATCTTTCCTTCTGCTGAGCATTTAGGGACCAAGATGATTTAAGAGATGATCAATTGAAGTATATAGTAGTTAACGTTGCTGCTCTGAATTCTGAGGTGGTTTTATTTCAAAACTGAAAATAAAAGAGAGGATGCAAGTCTGTCTGGATTAAATGGAACTTCGTTGTGTGCCAGAAGAAAATTCATCACATTGAGATAGAGAGCCTGCTAGCAGGAGTAAGGATGAAATCAGGAGCAGCTTGACTGGAAAGGGAATGAATATTCTGCTCAATGGCAGTTTCAGAGTAGGGATGACTATTTTTCAGCAGAGGCAGAATGCCAGCAGCTGTGCTGCTGTCTCCATGGCAAATTGGATCTCACAATTTGAGAAGGACATATTGCAAGACACCTTTAGCAACTCCTGAATGTTGGTGCCCAGAAAAGACTGGGTACTGAGGAAGGAGGTGGGAAAGAGCTGCAGGACTCCAGCAAGTGGAGAGCCCCACCAGGCAACACAAACCAAGCTGGAATACAGCACATAGCCTCTCTCCTCTGCTGGCCAGTGAGAGCAGGAGGCAGAGACCAGCTCTGCTCCAACTGGGCTGGGATCTATGACAGCCAGTCACTCTGTCCAGCAGGTTGTAAACAGAAAACAAGCCTTAACTGATGCACACAGCTGGGTTAAGCATGTTACCAAAACAGAAGCGCATCCTTTTTGAGGCATCAAAGGTTCAGGGCCAAAGCAACTACAGCATACCAATTCACTCCCTGGAGAAGGTGCTCCCCAGCAGCCCTGCTGGGTGACAGCCACTGTGTTCTGTGACAGCCACCTGATGGGCAGCCAACAAACCTCCACTCACTCCTTTCCAATCTGCTTGAGTAGTTGCACAAGGCCCCTTTGACTACACAGCTCAGTTTTCTATCCTCTTCTGACCATTCCCAGGAAAGAAAACAAAGCACACCTAAGCACAGATATGGTGTTTTAAATGCATTTGCATGACAAGACCATAACAGGGTCAGTACAGCTGGATAAATAATTGAAAATGAGTTTTGCAATTCAAGCTGACTACTGCCAGCTTTGACCAGAAATTCAATCTCTGCCTCACGTTTCTAGCACCAATTGGTATTTTCCAGCATTCAAAATATCAAGGAATGTTTAGAGGGGAAAGGAAAACCAAAACTTCAACATTGCTATCGCTTTTATATGTTGTTACATTGCTATTATGTGCTGAAACTCCCCAAAGACTATCAAAAGCTGATCAAAATGCCAGAAGGGTTTTTTTGAAAGACTTGTTCGATCAAACTGAAATGTATTAATGCTTCTCTAACCACCAACAACCTGCTGATGATCAGGGTGCCCGCTCCCCAGGGATGCCTTTTACCTGTCTGCCACCACGTGTCCACGAGGGTGCAGCGCCCTTCTCCCACCACCTGGTAGAACCACTGCCAAGCTTCCTTGTTGATGGGCTCTCCCACTAAACCAAAACAAGAAAGTGGCCTGAGACTCAGGAAGTTGCAGGCAGTTAATTCTCCCTCTTGGTGCACGACAAGCTGAACGCATGATCTCCAAGCAGAATGCTTATAGCATTTTTGCTGGGATGCATAAAGGACTGCAATGCACTTATGTAACTAAGAACTTTTTCCAGGAAGACCAAGAGGCAAGCAAGGAATATCACTTAAAATAACTAATCAATGTAGGTCATGTTTAAGAACCTCCCGAATCATAAAGGAAATAATGCAGAAAAATGCTGCTGGGCCCAGTTATGTCAGTAAAATTCAAAGTGAGGTAATTTACCATTGGATACATCTTTTTAGCAAAGAATGTGATCCTGCAAAATAAGCTAGGAAACAGGCAGTCACAGATTCAATGGCCCCAAAGTTAGTTTGCTGTTTCTTCTGCTGAGAAAATATTTGAAAAGCCAGACACAGAGCCTGCTTTATCATCTTCTTTTTAACCATATCCCATGTGGTCAGCTGAACTTCTCTGGCCCCTTTATTTCACCAGCTAGAACCTCTTGTCTTTTTCAGATGAAGATTCTATGTCCCTTACCTGAACCCAAAGTCTTCAAAGAAGATCTGTCATACTTCTTCACCCACTCTTCTCCATAATTCAGCAGTAAGCGTATAGCCGTAGGTGCTGCATAAAACTGATTAATTTTCAACCTTTGTACCACCTCCCAGTAACGACCTGGAAAATCACAAACAGGCTTTTTAGCCATCTAGCACTGACATACCCCTACAAATGCTCAGCTGAAAGGGTAACAGGCAAAGATGAAGCTGTGACTACTGTGAGTACAGAGCAAAAGCAATAACAATTTCCTCCCCTCCCCCCTTTCCCGGATGCACAGATGTTCCTGAGTGTTGTAGACACATGTTCCAAAGAAATGGAGCTTACCTCTCCTGAGTGGGTAGGTCTTGCTGGATAGGTTTCTAAACCTCCTTTGTCACATTGCCATGTCCAGCCAAACCTTTTCCCACCACTTCCTCACCTGGGTCAGGGTACAGTGGAGTGCTTTCAAAGAGGACAGAGGTGGCTCCATTGCAGAGTGGTCCATACACAACATAGCTATGTCCTGTGATCCAGCCAATGTCAGCCACACAGCCAAAAACATCGCCTTGCTGGTAGTCAAATACATACTGCAAAGATAAATGTAAGGCCAGCTGACTTTCTGTTGGTAGGTGCAAAGAGCTTAAAGGTAAGGTGCTGGACTGGACATCCAAATGGGAGAGAGTGCACAGGGCAAGTGGAGCCAAGCATGCAGGACACAGCAGCACAAAGACCAATCCGCAGTGAGGAAGCAAGTCAGAGGGACCAGTACCAGGACTTATTGGCTCCTGTCTACTTTTTCAAAAATACACCCAATAAGCCAATTGGGCAGCAAACAGAGAACACAGCACTCCTCACCAATCCAAGTCTCTCTTGTTAGCACAGTTGGAAGGTAAGTGAACTTTTCCCAGAGGATGCATCTGAGTTACCTTGTGCGTGAGAGCAGCGTACAGCAGGTATCCAGCCTGGGTGTGAACGATTCCTTTGGGTTTCCCAGTGCTGCCTGAGGTATACAGCATGAAAAGCATGTCTTCACTGTCCATGCTCTCTGGAGTACATACAGAAGCTGCCTTGGTCATCTCCTGAGGAATAAAAGGTAGTAATGACAGAAAGATTTAGCTATATGGAGCCAACCATTACTCCCTCTGTAAGCATGTCAGCAGCGTCCAGAGACAAGAACCACCACTGCTGTTGTCCCCTCACAAATGTGCATGGATACATCATGGGTTATATGGGCTCACTTAGTGGAAAGGTTCCTGTGGATGCATAGCGTGTAACCTTTCCACCAGTACCTTTGCTAGGCACAGAAGTCAAGAAGAACCGGCCAGATAAAATAACACTTCAGGAAAAAATAGTGTGTCATAGCTGCTTACATTTCAAGCCTTTGCAAGCTGCTGGTAGAAAACCAAAGTGTGACTGCAAACATGAATCACACTTGACAGCAGCAGCAAGGCTGACTGGGTACCATTTAGGACCTTTCTTTTCCTTTTAAAACTGCAGTGCTACAGTTAAACTGTGCATGCGTTTCCCTTCCCTGGCCCCAGCAGTGGATGATTGTCCTGTCCCTTTGATCCTCAAATTCTAATTTCTTCTACCCAGGAGGAGAGTGCTTTACTCTCCTGCAAACTTTTGGTCTATCTTGTGTGCTCAGTCCAACAGAGGAAGGGGAAATAATGTGCTTTGAAAGAGGTACTTGTGCTCACTGGACGTTTTTGCAGCAGAGGGCTTGTCTACCCAGGCTGTAGATTTTTCAGGATGAGACTGAACATTTTTCTTATCCATGTACAAACTTGCAATAATCTGTGTGTTCCTAAAGCTCAACATATGGCTGTAAAAAAACCACAGCTGCCTTGTGTCTCTTGAGCCCTGTACTGTACTAGATGAATGATTCCTGCAAGGGTTATTAGGTGGCTCCTTGTAGGAATTTCTAGGTACTGCCTTTTTACAAGTATACACTGTAAACATACTGTATTTACAAGTGAATACTACTATCAGCAGGTCCAGTCTGACAAACAGAGCTTAATAAAATATAGCTGATAGTCTGGTGTTACTCTTAGCCTCTGAGTTATCCAGTCTGACAAACAAAGCTTAATAAAATGTAGCTCGCAGACTGGTGTAATTCTTAGCCTCTGAGTTACAGCACTGCTGCTCATGTCAGGTATTTATTGTGACATTTCAGCACTGCCAATTCGGGCTGACTTGCCAGTTTTTGAAACAAAGATGGAGTCCTCATATGCTCTATTATAACATGAGCTTAAATTTTGCAGTAAGGCACTGCACAAGAGCTGGAAAGCACAAGTGCTGTAAAGATCAGTAACTACAGAGTTAACAGCATTAACTGTTTCATTCTTGTTTCGTTTCAGACCCTACAACTGAAAATGTACTGAGTTCAGCTCTTGGATCACTCTTGGATCAGGCTGTTGACAGACTAAGGAAAATAATCAAAATGTCCTTTGTGGAGTAGGGAGTAAGACAATTTCTGAATAAAACCTGCCTTCTCTGTTTAACTTAAGAGTAGTAGTTGCTCCTATCTCATGTGACCAGCACAGACCCTTGAGCAATTATCTGGCCTGCAGATGGATGATTTCCAGGCATTATTAGAACGAATAGTTTCTGTTAACTGCTGCTAGAAAACTGATACAACTACTTCTACTAAACACATAAAAATAACAGCTGCCTTCTTTGCCAGGAAGCACAGGTTCTAAATACTCCCAAGCCATCACTGTCCTCCTATTGTGGAGCAACACTATTCACAGGCTGTATTAAGCCTCTCTAGGAACGTGATTATTTCTGCACTGCCTTTCAACAGTGCTCATGCAAACCATAAGAGAGTGTTTGAACACAGTATAACAACAACAGTGACAATGGTCTCAGTGCCCTCTGGGTCTCAGGAAACACTCATTCCTTAAATCTCAGCACTGTCTGCAAGATTACTAAAATGGAGCAGCATAATCCCTGCCTGTGCTGATATAAACCAGATGTGGATTGAGCTGTTTCGACTCACAATCCTAACAGACTGTAATATGGGCAATCCATTTGAGGATGAAGATCCAGATGATATAAGGAGCAGAACTCAAGTCCAAAAGGCACAGATGGAGAGAAAGATTATCCTAGCCAACACTCAGACCTAAAAGAAGTTATCCGGAGCGCCAGCGAGCATCTGTGGCAGCACAGGAGGAGCAGCACACACTGAAAACCTGCTCCAGAGGCAGCATAAAGGCCAGACATCACTGTCAGGCCTGGTACAGCTACACTAGAGTGCCAAGCTGCTTCATAGGCTTTTAAGTTCAGCACACACAATGCAAGGAAACTGCCATGGAGACTGCCTCATCTTTCCCAGCTGCCAATTCCTAGTGTAGCCCACAGCAGATCAAAGATCAAAGCCAAACACCACAGTGTGCATGATCTACACATTCAGGAAGACTGTTACATGCGTTCTGAACAGCCCCGCATCAGGTTTCTCAGAGAGGCCTGTGGTAGCTGGTCCCTACATTTATTAGTTCACCATATTTCTCTTCCCAGGCACAGTAAACATCACATACTTCAAGAAACATCAGGAATACAGGCAAGGTTTACCAACAACATACCTCTTCAAGGGGAATATCACAGTCACCCATCTGGACTTTGTTATCTGTCCTCTGAGCCACAAAGACATGTTTGATGCTTGGACAGTTCTTCACAGCTTCATCCACAGTCCTCTTCAGCTCTATGATTCGGCCTCCCCTGACTCCCTGGTTGTAGGTGATAACTGCTTTGCATCCAGCTAAGAAGAAAAAGAATTAGCATACATACCAGCCTGCCTTTCAGGATAGTGTGCACACCCTACTTTCATTACTTTTGAGGATGATGTACAGGACAACATGTGTGTCAAATACTTAGAACCATTATCAATCAAAACCAGTCAGTGTCACTGATGAAAAAAACTTTAAAACCTGAGACACACATAGATTAGGGGCAGCTGGAACCTCCATAGGTTATCTAGTCCATCTCCCCCACCCCAAGGCAAGGCCCATTCCAGCTAAACCACTTCTGACAACTATCTGTTCAGTCTTCCTAAAACGCTCCAATGGCATCTCTTCTACCCTCCCCACCAGTCCACTCCAATGCCTATCATGAATATGAGAAAGTCTTTCCCAACATCTACCCTAAGTACCCCTCACTGTAATTTAAATCCTCAGTTCCTGCCTAGCAAAGCTGACATGCAGAGCAGCTTCCTTCCAGTTACCTGTGTTACAATGAATGATACTGCTTTAGGCTGACAGCTCACACACTGAAACCAGGGCAAGACTTCCTATGATCTGTGTGAACAAGCACCTTTGCCCCTCTCTCTGAGGCTCCGTGTAAGCATCCATTACAAACTGACATGGACAGCACAAAGCTCAGCAGCCTCTTGAAGGTGTCACCCTGCTCTGAGATACCTGCAGCCTTCTGAAACTCATCTGTACTACCTGGAAGCCACAGCACACAGCAGCAATCTGGCAGAACACTTCAAATTGCACCACTCAACGTTATTACAGAGCTGTGGCTGCAGAGAAATGGCTCTTTAGTCCATTACCTCCACACAGGTGGCCAAATATGAGGGATATGTATTTGCTCTCTATAGATTAACTCCACTAAAAAGAGGAAAAAACCATGAAAATTTCTGTAAGACTTTTTCCCTCAGACTAGCCATAAAGAAAGTGATGTGACTGCTATGGGACATGAGCCACTTGCTATTTAGCTCTTCTGTCAGTACTTTTAGCGTTCCTTTTTACCTAATCACACAAGTGCTGAGGGCTGAGAACAGCTCTGTCTGCTGGTACAAGGGCTCGCAGAGCAGATGCAGGCTGCCAACACTTCCAGGACCACACATAAATCACAGGATTACTATTGAGAATGCAGAATTAGTACTGTGCAAGAGTATCAAAGAAACACTGCAATTACACTGCAAAAGAACAAATCAGACCCCATCCCTAAGCTCTGGTTTTCCTTCCAGCTTCATTGCTGGCTGGCAGTAACCCAGTTCACACTGAATGTTAAGCAATTTATAACGTATTTTAAGGCCAGAGGATACTACATCTCTCCCTAAGGAAAAGGCTCTTCAATGCACTCTATGGAGGAGAGTAAACTCAACAGAGAATTGGGATATGTCTCGGACCACTGTCCCAGAGGAGTTTGTTCCCCAGTCTGCATCTACTTACAGTCCACGATTCTCCCAGCCAAGGACTCTGCGCTGAATCCGGCGAAGACCACACTGTGAACAGCACCAATTCTGGCACAAGCCAGCATGGATGCCACTGACAAGGGAGACACGGGCATATAGATGGCCACCTTGTCCCCTTTCTGTATCCCGTATTTCTTCAGGGTGTTGGCAAGACGGCAAGTCAGATCCAGAAGTTCCCTGCAGGCACAGAAGCAACACTGTCATGTGACCACACAACCTGTTTTACACGGGGGAACAAAGAAAAGATGAACTTTTCTTTGTGTATGAGTGAGGTATCACATCACCTCTGGACCTCATCTCAGCAGTACTGGGCACATCAGCTTTTGCATTTTAAAGAATGGTGACCTGGGGCATGGTGAGAGTCAGACTGCTCCTGCCACTTCGGTGAGGAGAAAAAAGGGCAGAGAGCGGTGCTGGCTGCAGAAGGATGAGTAAGAGAGAGCCGCAGGCGCTGCCTGGAGCTGCCAGGCTGTGATGTGCGTAAAGCAGCCAGCAAGCCAGTGGCTGTCCTGCTGCCTCCAGAAGTCAGTGTCCATTTTGGCCATCCTTGATACCTTTTTTACCCATGAGGCTCAGTCAGAAGCTACTGGGAACAAATGTGGGATAAACACAAGGTGAAATGGAAGTGTTGCCTAAAGACTCCCAGAACTTTTTAAGTTGGCAATTGCTGGAAGTGCTCTGCAACTGGTAGATTCTCTTTAAATTGCAAGGGTAAACAATGCATTTGCATGCATAAGGAAGAAAAGAAGTCCCGAGACACCAGTGTGAGGGGCAGATTTTACATGACTTTCATCAAAGCTGGAGCACCTGCAGCCCAACTTCCTCTGCTGTCACTTAACCCTGCCATGCCACAGAGCACAACAGCCTTGCAGAACAGAAGCACTGCTCCGAATAAAACTGCAGCCACTTTTGCACAGAGAAACTCGGGTACACCAAGAACAGGAACAAAGGCTCTTTTCATGGGGCTCGCCACTGCAACAATCTGTCTTAACAGCAAAAACGTTCCTCTAAGGAATGAAAAAGCAGTTTGTGGGCAAAGGCTTGCACATACACTTATTCTGCACAGGGGATAAGACGACTGCAGGTACACCTGGGTCCAAGATGCTGTCATGAACTGAACAGCTCTGTATGCCTCCAGTGGAAAGGCTTCAGGAACAAGAGCTACTGTACCAGGTGAGGAGTGGTCTCATGCCAAAGGAGACGACCCTAGGAGGGGCAGCAGAACAGTCCTTCTGTACGAATCATCAGCTCAGAGGAGGAGACTGGCAGAGTCTGCCCAGAATGAAAATTGTCCTCTGGGTTCATAAACTCTCTGAGTACTGAGGCCCAGAGGAGAGAGAGATATCTTCTACTCCCTAGGAAACTCATCTTCAATCTGTCACCTGTGAACCCTTAGGGGCTGCAAGCTATGCCCCCAGGGACCCCCATAACTGTTAATAAAGAAATTAGTTTTGGCGGTTTGCATTCCGTAATAAGCTGTAAAGCATGAATCTATATCTTATGTGTCCTCTTCTCACAGAACTGACCATAGCTGTGAAAAAACAAAGAAACAAAACCAATTTTCAGCTGGTGGCTAAGCTGCAAATAAAATGAAAAGTTCCTTGCTCATCAAAAATTGTTTTGTTTCTTTTTTTAACTTTCTTTTCCACTGCAAGCTGGAAATAGGGAAAGCCCAAGAGCTCCTCTTTGGAAATGTCATATCAAAACTTGGCATCTTACTTCCACAGGATAAAACTCCATCTGCACTGTGAGGGCATGAAGAAACACAGTCATTGAGAAAGTATGACGATAGATCCAGTGATGGCTGGAGGGACACCACTTCCCTCCCATCTTTTAGAAGACAAGGAAAACGAGCCTCAAATCCAAGGCACAGCACCTCATATTATTTATTTTAATACTATTCCCGTAGGATCAAATAAATAGTCCATTTCTGGGCAGGCACTCAGAGAAGTGTCCAGACATGTTCAAGTGTCTGTTCTCTGGCAGTAGCTGGCAACAGCTGCGACTGCAGAGAAACCACAATCCTGTAGAAATCAGGTATGGAGTGGCTGCACCCCAGACTGAATTTCCCCCTAATCCCTTATGGTTAGAGATCAGCCTAAACTCTAAAGTGCAACATTCAATTACCCCTTCCCAAGCCCCTCATGACCATGCATGTTCCTACTGTCTACATAAGTGCACAGTCTGTTAGATTTATTATTTTGCTTACTCTTACTGAGTTCATGAACTCTGTGCAATAATGATTTCTCACCCCATGTTTGGTTTGGTGCCTTGTCCTAAAAGGTCACATTTTCTGGTCTGGAATTTATCTGAGGCTGCATTAGAGAAAAATCTCAATGTGGATATATAGCAAAGAGCCAAAACAAAACTAAACTGCTCAACTGCAGAGCGCAGGAAGTGAAACAAGCTCCAGGCAGGCAGTTGTCAGAAAGTAAAATAAAAACTACTTATCTGCAATGGAAAACACTCGAGTGCTTTCAGAGCTGCAGCCTCCTTCTCCTGAGCAGAAATGTCAGAGTATCTCTGGCTACGATGTGTTTTCTGAGCAACTGCATGGCTCACTTGCTTATTCAGGACTCAGTGACCATGATGGCAAAAGCTCTCATTGTTTTTTATGATTAAGTCCAATTTAACATTGGCTTTATGAGAGTGTATGAGCAAGTTAACAGACAATACACAGCAGTCTTTACCCACAGATCTATTCGCTTTGCCTTCTTTGCACTCTGAAATGCCAAGATAGGAAGGCCTTGAAGGTCCCTTGGCAGTGCAGCACATGGGAGAATAGGCACAAAGGGTGAAGCCAAGAACTCCAACAAAGAAATCCACTAGTCCCTGAGCATCAGGTGTGGCTTCTGGCTCCTGCAGCAGCAACTCAGGCTTCCCCTCCAGTTCAAGAAAGGGAGTTAGCAGAAATGCTGTGTCAGGAATCCTTCCCTTGACTCCTTCACTCCTTCAAACACACTTTGCTATCTAACAGACAGGCAATTAGTACATGCCAGCATGTTACACATTGCCAGTTAACCCAGACATATCTTGGGAAGGAACGAGCACCCTGCAGAGTTGCTGCCCCACAGAACTGTGCAGCATTTGAGACAAATGCCCAGCCTTCCTGCAGACATCCTGAACCCAAGGCAAGGGAAACCCCCTGCAACCTTTTTCAGGTGAGAAAGTGAAAAATCCATGAACTGCCTTGGACAGGGAAAGCCGAAAGCCTGGGCAAGATTTACTTGCAACTTCAACTTAAAAAACCAATACTGGAAAGATGGAAAAGAGTTTGCTGTCAATGGTTACGTACCAACATGGCTTCCAACTGCAGTATTCACTGTGATCTCTAATATAAGTGCAACTATTTCAGCTCGGGCTGAGGAATCCATTGGCTTTTTAAAGGCATAGCTGTCATGTGGCTCATGAAGATGTCCAACTGCTTCTGTCCCACCTACCTAAGACCTTAATTTCTGGCCCTTCAGTTTTCCTCTCCCTACTTTCTATTTTGCATTTTGAACATTCCCTCTGGCCACAACATTTGCTGCACCAGAGTGAACTCCTTTGTAAATTAAAACCCTTCTGTTGAGACCCAGCTTGCAACCCTTTTGAAAAATATTTTAGCTAATGCATACTGCTGTCCACTTCACACAGCTCCCATTGATTTTGCAATGCTAGCATATACTGGCTCACAGGTGGATAAACTGTAGAGGCCTAGGTAAACCAGGGAACACCAGAGAGAATAAATAACCCCATGTCAGACAGGCGGAGGTCTGGCATAACTTTAGCTTCTGTCTTTAACATTCCCACTTGTTGGAACTTTAGGAGGCTGCAACACAACAGCTCCAGCCACCAGTTCTGCCTGCTTATATAAGGCACAGTACCCTTTAAAACCCAGGCTCAGCAACGTGCTGGGGAATTCCTCTGCAAGGTTTCAAAGCCCCTGGGCCCTGACAATATCCACCAAGAAGGACAAACCACTCCCAGTCTGGCTGGATCCTTCTGCCAATAAATTCAGTTCTCAGCTCATAGCAGCACAGTCCTGCTACTTAGCCACTTCCCTACCACTGGAGTTTCAGTGGTTTAGCCTCCGGAGAGCCAGACATCTTGACAACTGATTGGCATGCTTTGTCCTCACTTTGCTGACTGCAGCCACCAAAGCCCAAGAGGGTTGTATTCCCTGTTGTCACAAAGCAGTAAAAAAGCAAGTCTTCTGCCTTCCCATTCAAAATTGGAGATAATTTGAAAGTTAGCTAAATATCCACTTTATAGAAATGAAACCCAGAAGGGGGAAAAAGCAAGAGGGGCCAGGGAATTTTTTTTCCTGAAAGGCTTGAGTTGCATCAGCTAGAGAGACTGGACAAAACTCAGCAGTGAAAAAGATCATCACAACTGAGCTTGTAAGGACAGCACTCATCTATTCATGCTAAAATGAAATGTTTCACCTATGGCTTTGTGTACTTTTGCCAATCAGGAGATGTTTGGATTCTTCTCCTAGCACAGAGCACTTGAACTCTGCTGCACAAGTACAACCCACCTTGCTGACAAGTGTGCACAGAGATGTAGGCTGATTCATGGCATAGCCCAGCTGCTCTTTGCCCACTGCAAGTGAGGCAGTTAGTGGGGCAGCAGAGGCAAATGGAGGCTCTTATTTCTTCCAAAGATGACCAAGCTGGGACAGCACTTTCCAGTGCAGCTGTGTTTCTTGCCAATGCACAGAGGAGGTCCCACTGATGGAGGCTTTCCCCTTCCTCAGGGAGGAGAAAGCCTGTTCCAGCCCTTTTCCTATATAGCTACGTTCTTCCTTTGCAGGGTGTGATGGGAACAGGGCCAGCACTCAGCTGTTTTCTTGCCCCTGGCAACTACCCAGAGAAGGGAGAGCACCCATGCCAGCAGCTGCATCTTTCCTTGTGTCACACAGGGCTTATCTATAAGGAGAAGCAGCTCAAAGCAGCAGGCTTTGCAAAGCAGATAATGTAAAAAAAATGGTGCCTTGCACTCCTCTGCATGTAAGCCCTGGACAGCACTCTCCCAGCTGAGGTTCCATGACCTTACTCAAAGCTGGTCCATAAGCAGTGCCCAAATTAAAGGCTTTAACTTTCTAGAGTGCTACTGTAACACTACTATCCCATTAACAGCACATTCAGATCCTAAGGAAAGGAGCCTATCTCCTCTGCCAAAGACAGATGTCCAGCATCCCTCTCATTTCCTCTTTACGCTGAGGGTGGTGTGCAGAGACCACCCTGCTACAGAAGCCTCACAGAGGGACTACTCCACCAGCATCTCAGCTTCTGGGCCATCTCCTTCTCTCATATGCTTTCCCTTACAAAATTCCTAGCTCAAATAAAGCACTACTGCAAAAAGTTTTCAACTAAGCTCAGCAGCAAAGGGAGGTAAGTGCCAACACACCTTGGAGAAACCTTACCGCACCATTTAAAACCTGCAACAATGCAGCTCAATGATCACAGAAAATGCAAAATTTTTTACTCTCTTCTTGTGTACATATCCATACAGTATCACTGCTCTCAGCAATACTATTCCTGGCTTAATGAGATAAGCAGAGAACCAAGTGACCTGTTTTATCGAGTGGTAGGACCAAAGTCTCTTGAGAAACCCGAATGCAGTCACATCTCACCCAGAGTATCAGGAAGAAACAGGAACATGGCTCTCAAACACAGGAAGAAGTTTGAAAACAGAAGTTGTCAACTTGTCTTTCACTTGGATGTTCTACTCTCTAGTACTAGTTACTGTATCTTGTAACACTGCACAAAGAGGGGTTTAGACATGGGTTACTTGTCTTCATGTTTTCAGGCTGAAAATATACTTTCTTCCAAATGCATTTTATCATGGCCAGGAAAAAATCCAGTTCTGTTGCTGTTAAGAAAGGCCTTTCTATATCTCCAGAGATCCCAAGAAGATGGTTTGAGTGTCTGGAGCAGCTCAGCCCATTTCAAGTAGCACAGCCCAAGGGAGAGGCTAGAGTTGCCTTGAAGGAGGCTGTGCTATCTGTTGGGCTGCTCTCCTTATCTGAGCACAGTTTTCACCTCTGAACCACCCCAAGGTTTCATCCTGATGCATAAGGAGAGACATAAAAGTACATATACCTGGGAGAAAAACATATTGTACATAAACAATTAAAGGGAAAAACCTTTGGTCCTTTTTTTACCATCAGAATGGCAAAAGCAAGACTCAAAGCATTTAGCCAAGATACCCAGTTTGTTACAACACATTTACATCATAGCATGCCTAAACATTCTCTCAAATAACAATACCAAGATTAAAACCAATGCACTCTTTCAATGCAGCTTTATATCAGGTAGCATTTATTTCTGTTGCATGAAGCACTAACCTCTCATAATTATTTGTACAGCCACTCCTTCCTGCTGACTAGCTTCTTCACTCCAATGAATTATGCTTTCAGGTGCTTTAATAAAGTCTGGAGGTGAACCAGACCACCAGAACCTATTCAGACTCAAGGACCTCTAGGAGTCCCAACAAGCTCCGGAAAACATTCTTTAAAAGTCTGATGCCAGGACTTTCTACGTCTCCTTTGCTTTCTGAACCAGGACATCACACATCTGGCTCCCTGAGATTCAGCAGATCAAACTTTTGGCTCCTTAAAACATGCACTGAGAAACATACATTCTGGGAAAGCTTTAATTCTCAGTAGAGAGACAGATGACGTAAAAGGCATCTTTGTAGGCAGGACTGTCTCCTAAATGAGGGCACATAGCAAGGAGAAGAGAAATATGCTTGAAAACTGCCATATTCTAACAAACCCTACGATCTATAGCAGCAATTGCAAGTCAGTGTCACTCAGAGCAGCTCAAGGTTGCTCTAAACTGCACTAAGGATGGAGAACAGGAACATGGGGAGCTTAAAATCCCCTCCAACCAGGGCTCAGTATCATGCTCTTGACCATCAACACGTTTGCACCAAGTCATTTGCTGCTGTGCTGAAACCAAAAGCTTCTCACAGAAATTTTCCCATGAACACCTCTAACAAGCAAAACTGGCAGGTTTTTTTCCAGCAAGAGTTAAAAAAACCCCAAGCCTTTCTCTTCTAAAAGCCCCCACATAGCAAAAGAGGGAACCTACAGGATGGCCTGATCAGCATCATCACCAGAAGATGTGCCGGATCTCAATCTGAAATTTTCAGTATCTGCCACCAACTTACATCCACTGTACCTCTGACCTTGTACTACATACAGGTGTCTAAAATCAGGGAACCCTCCCCACGAAGAACCCAAAGGAAGAATATAACTTCTCAGTGGTAACATGGCTTCGTTTTTCAGGAGCTATTTCATCATGATACAACAACCTCAAATGCTGTGGTCCCACGTCCTATGTGCTGGGAGTACCTTGGAAGAAAGCAGAGTTTCACAGAGGTCCCACTTCCCTCTCCCCCACACTGCCAGGCATCATAAAGCATCTTGAGAAGGTGCCATACCTGTAAGTGACGTGCACTGCAGTGCCAGGCTCATCTCTCTCCCAAATCAAAGCCACTCTGTTCGGAGACTTTTCAACGTGTTGATCCAAGCAATTTACTGTAAAAAAACCCAAAGGTTTAAACAAAGCCTGATCACATGCAAGGTGCTCTGTAAACTTAACTTGGTCAAGAGTAACAGCAAGCTAGTGCAAGAAGAAACATCAGTTGTTAGCTCAGTAGGCACACATTCACGTAAAACAGCATTTGTAGTTCTAGTAAAGCTGTACAACAAATACTACACTTAATCGGCACAGCTGCCTTAGAGATGGCAACCCCATGAGAGGCCATCGCTGATTCAGCTCAGCTTACCTCCACTGGCTAAGCTTAAGCCAGCCCAAATCTTTCCTCTGCTCCCAGTAGCACAAAGATGAGACACCCTTTTGATGTTTGTGTTCCCCAGAGCAGCATTTCACTACATAAATATGACAGACTGTCTTCCCCAGCTTGCACATTTAGCACTGCACCATCTGGATTTTCTAATAAACCTCAGGTGAAACGTTTTTTTCCAGGGTATAAGAGAAGAGCTGAATCGCAGCTAAATGAAAATATCTAAAACTGTAGGATCTAGGGCAAACTCTGAGTACAAGCATCTACAAATTACCAGACACCTGGGAAAGATTAACATGTCTCAAGCTATGTACTACACCTATTAAACTGTAAAGACATAAAATTACCTTTTAAAGGCACATCTCTCCCCCTCAACAACTTGAGGTAGAGGACTTAGGGAGAGCAATCAACCTGAAGAAATTTAGAGAATCCACACGAGAAATCCGCCTGCATGTCCAGTAGCAAGTTGCCTGATGGTTAGAGAGCATCCTTGTAAAGTATTAATTCCAAGCCTATACAATACTTGCTTATTGCATTGTAATTTTTCAAAGGCAGTTACTTTATTTCAATAGATAACTACTAAAAAGCAGTCAGGAACACTGCCACATAATTCAGAGAAAACTCTTCTAAAAATTGCTGAGTTTCAGACCATATTTCCTGGAAATATTAATACTGGTCGGAAAGGATTTCATTTTTCCAGATAAATTAAGTGCCACAAAAGCTGTATACTGCAGCCAGGGAGTCAGCTTTGGCTTTTTTGTGATCGCACCACCACATGGAGGGTAGGAATGAGCCCATAAAGGTGTGCAGAGAAAGAAGTCTCTCAGAATTCAACACATTTCATTACAAGTCCAAGTGTCAATCTCAGAAATTTGCAAATGCAGTCTTCTGCCAGTTAAAGTCTTTTATTTTTAATGTAAAATCCTGCAGCAATACTGTAAAGGAGATAAAGCAATTTATTAACCCATCCTAATACAAGAGGACGAAAGCTCCAGTGGGGAATGCTTTAAGCAGTTACACACTGGTTTCCTCTACTCCCCATCCACAGCTAATTGGATCTGCTGCAGCTTGGTCCACAACACACTGCAACTCCCACCTCCAAGCTCCTTGCAGCAACACCCTCACATATTGCACCATACTACAGTAAATCACATTAAGGGGTATTCATTGCCCAAGCAGCATTTCTTACTCGTAAGCAGCCACATTGGCCTTCAGAGGGAATTTCTGCTGCAGAAATCCCCAGCTGAGCCAAGTGAGAGCTTTAGCTCTGTGCTCAGTAAGAACCAGCAGGTGAACTAGAGCCAAATGCTATTATTTGCTTCCTGATCTTAGGCTTACAAGAACCTTTTGCTCATTTTACAAAACAGAATTAAGTGGCCTTCCCCTTACTATTATATCCTAGTGGTTTTTCCATATGTTGCTTCCTTGACAACACTCAGAAACAATTCATTTCAGTAAGACATGCTCCCAAGACGGTGTTCTGGCTGGAAATGCAGTAGTTTGCCAGATTATTCTCCTGCCCAGGAGTTACAGTGCAATAAATCCAGAAGCACTGAAGCTCACAGGTCCCCAAATCCTATCGCAAGGTCCCTCCAAAAAGGTATCAGATGACTTGGTTGCACAAGGTTCAGCTGTGCTGGGAGGTGGGCACACAAGATGTGTGGATCAGGGACCTGAACTGTTGCCGTGTTTCTGTAGCCAGTGTTCAAACTGAGATGAAGGGAGCCCCCTAACAGAAAAACAGTCACTTGGCTGTGCCCAAGTACCATCTTCATCATGCTTGAAAAGAAAACCAGGAATAGCAAACCTGTTTAATTCTGTGCATCTGTTTCAAAGGTCTATGATTTCTTTTTACATGTGCAAAGAAAACTATATGGCATTTAGTGCCTGCTGAAGAACCAGACCCAAGGCATGATCTAAAATCTGCATTTCAGAGATCTGACATAGGATTCAGAAGAGGGTGTTGATCCCATTCCACAGAGGAAAGAAACAGATCTCTGTAAGTCTCTGCTCAGACAAGACCTTTCTTTCAAGAGGAATTAATGAAGATAAAAGCCTGCCTAAAATCCTCTGACTGCTGGGTGCCAGAACCAGGGCTGTACACACATCTCCATAAACTTGGGATCCACTGCTGGGAATCATCTCCTGGAAGGAGATGCTCCTATATGTTCTGGAAGACCTGAGGAGGGTTTCCTCTTTTACTGTGAAAAAAAACGGTGTCCAGAGATGTCACCGTTACTGCACTACTGAACCGGTAGTGCTGATTCAAGCACTCTCACAGGAACGGGAAATGAAGGTCAGAAACGAACATCCCTGTTAAAAGACTTCACCACTGAGTTGTACCCTAGGTGGGACTGGGGCTCATTCCCACTGGGCATGGCCACGGCACAGAAGAGACTTCAAGGCAGATACGGCCAGGATGAAAGTCAAGGGCAGTGAGGACAGTCATGGAGAATTTTACTCTTGTTTCACGTTAAGTGGTGAAGTCGGAAGAAAAGAACAAGATCCTCGTTCTAAAGAGAAAAAACCTTGCCGCTTCTGCCTCAAAAGACTGGGATTCGCACCGTTCGCCACCTGTGGATCATCTTAAGCCACCACGGGAAGGCGAAGCCGGCATAGCCGAAGCTGGGGCATTTCTGCCGGCACGGCAACAGGGGTGCGGCCGGATCTCCGCCGATCGGAGGGCAAGAGGCTTAGCCGGGTTTAATCCCGGCTTCGGATTTTCTCCCCGCTTCCAGCATTTCGCAACTCCCTGCTGGTTTCTTCCCAGCGCTGCCCAACCGAACTCCTCGTCTTCCCCCCCAAAAGAGGGGCGCTGGCGAAACCCGGCCCTTGGGACGGCTCCCGGGCAGCCCGACGGCGGCAGCGGGCGGTGCCGCGGGGGAGACGCCTTACCCGAGACGTTGAGGCGGCCCCCGAGGAACCAGCGGGCTGTGCCGGCGGGCCGGCCGGGCTGGCAGGCCGTGTGGAAAGGGCTGTCCCAGCGCAGCCACCCCCGCGCCAAGTCCGCCCAAAACCCGGCGGGGTCGCGGGCCGCCTGCTCCTGCCAGGCCCGGTACCCTCCGGGTGGCAGCGCACCGGGGGCTCCCGCCTCGCTGCAGCGGCGCCGGGCAGCGACCAGGACCTGTCCCAGAGGGTGCGGGGGGCTGAGGGCGCGCAGCGCCCGCGCCCGGGCGGCCGCCAGCGCCATGGGCTCAGCCCTGCGCCGCCGTCGGGACCGCGCCGCGCCCGGCCCCGGAACAGCCCCGGCCCGCCGCGAGGGGCGCGAGACCGCCTGAGGGGAGGGGCTGCCCCGGCCGGGCGGCCCTCGGAGCGCCGCACCCGGGAACACCCGCACCGCCGGACACCCAGCACGACCGGGAGTGCCCTGCACCCGGGAACACCCGCACCGCCGGACACCCAGCACGACCGGGAGTGCCCTGCACCTGGGGACACCCCGCACCTGGGGACACCCCGCACCCGGGGCCACCCGCACCGCCGGGAGCGCCCCGCACCTGGGGACACCCCGCACCTGAGGACACCCCGCACCTGAGGACACCCCGCACCGCTGGGAGCGCCCCGCACCCCCGGACACCCAGCACGACCGGGAGCGCCCCGCACCCGGGGACACCTCGCACCTGGGGACAGCCTGTAGGCACATGGGCCCTCATACACCACCAAACACATGGCTGTCATACCTCTGACCCCTCTTTGCTCAAAATGAGGTGACTCTAAGTGGGTTCACTTTTTGCTTGGCAGCCCTGCGAGCACCGTCGTTACCACAACGTGGAGCTCCTAGTTTTGGTTATCATTCTTTCCTCCATATTAGCGTAAGGACCAGGTTTAACCCGTACTTCGTGATGGAAACCCTCAACACTGAGTAGCAAGGTTTTAGAGGAGGTAGCACAGAGCTTATTCTCTCTGCATAGCAGGGACATGCCCTTTGCTGGCTTGAAGAAGCTAATTCTTTTAGGCAGTTTGGTCCAGCCTCCCGGCACGGAGTTTGAAAACTCCTATTAGAGGAGCAAGGTCTGGGCATCCTTTAGAAGTGCCAACTCTAAAGGCCTTTAGAAGTGCACCAACTCTGCTCACTCTCAGAGTTTGGGTAGACAAAACACGTCATCTTCAAGATTAAAAACTTGAAATTACTCGATATGCCACGAAGCTTTTTCTGGCCGTGGTAGAGACAAATAGTGTTTTCTATGACTTTTTTTTCCTCCTGTTCTAGAAATATCACCAGATACTTTATCAGGTATAATACAGATTTGATCAGGATTCGTATTTCTGGCACTTCTACACTTTTCATCTGTGTTTTATACGTAACAAACAAGAATAAATGCACTCTTCCTCGTAAAGCTGGCATTAGCGCATTGCTTCTGAAGTTCGATATTCCTTCCTTGTGTTTTGAATACCAGTTTGGCTTTGCACAAGTCTTAAGTTCCAAGCAGCAGCACGTGTGCCACCTGGTGCCAGACAGGAGCATGGAGAGCACTTCAGCTCTCACTTCGTTTGCCTAAGGATTACTCAAAAGTTTTCTGTCAAAAACGACTTACAGGCAAATCCCACTCCTTTCAGGATTTCAGAGGAAAGCTTTTCACAAAACAAGCAAATGAGTTGTCGAAAAAAATAAAGCATGAATTTAAATTCTTTGGCCTTAAACCCTAGCTGCTTCATTTACAGACCTTGAAATCCTCTGGGAATGGTGCCCTTCTCTGGTTTTCTTCCACATAAGGCTGATTTTCCTTTTCCACTACCAAGTTTTATTTTGCTGATGATTCACCATAACATCCCCCACCCTCAAATTTTGACTTTTTCCTCAACAAGCCATGGCCAGTAGCAACACAAATCCAGCCTGGAGGCCACCTGATCACCCCTTTCAGCTGGGTTGCTGAGCAGAACAAGCACAACCCTAAATCTCCTTTCTTGCCTCCAAAAGAGCTGAGGAGAGGGGAAAAGCATCCTTGAGATTTTGCAATGCCTACTTATCCTAGCTATGGCTTTCTGGCAGTGAAAGCTGGCATCAGGCTGTTGACTTTTTGAGAACCAGAGTGTTACAGCAGTTCTCATTCTTAAGTTTGTAGCTTGAGTATGCCAGGAAAGGCTGGTGCTGGATAAAACACAGGTTATAGAATTGCTTCTTGTGCTCATTGTGTCTACATTCTTAGGGCCCTCTTGGCATTATGGAGTCCAAACATCAATGGTGGTGGTACCAGCTCTGGAGAAGTCCAGTTACTGTTATCTGAAAATGCCACCTGCTACAGCAGCTCCCAAAGGCTTGTGGCTGCCAGGGCAGAAGTCATTCCCTGCTGCAGCCAGGTCCCCTGGCACAATCTCCCACACCAGCCAGGCAACCCCACTGCCCTGCAAAACATTTTAGCAGATAACAGGGTCACCTGCTGAATAGCTGCAGCTATTGTATTAAGGGTTTTCTGTGCTGGTATCATGGCAGGCACTGATGAACAAAGTTAGTAGCGTTTTGGGTAGGGGGTGAGTTTGGCTACCAACTGTCCGTGGGCTCATGTTGCATTTATCCCACACAACACCTCTTGCACTCTCTGGTATGACAGTCTGGAGTGCACCAGCCCTGTGCCACTGGGCAGAGAGAGAATTTCAGGGATTTCTGCTTGTGCCCCTCTGCCAGGCACAGCTATCCTATGGGCACACACACTGATGCTCTCTGACCATTTTGCTTTGCCTTTCTATATTTTTAATCAATTTCTCTCTATTTGACAAGAGTTATGTTTCTCAATTGCTTGTCCCCCTATTTTTCCCTTAATGACTTAAAAAGAATAAAAAGGTAATGAAATCCATGACTGCCACTTGGTAATCACTGTTGTGGTCCTAACTGTTCTTTCCAATGGTCTTCCCACATGGTATGCACACAGTTGATATCTGATTCCACAAAGAAAGTCAGGGTCAGGCAAAAACACCACTATAGAGCTATGTACACAGAGGTCTGTGTTAGAAATCCTCCCAAGTCACAATTAACCAAGATTTAAATAAAATCTTTTGATCATTTTTAGCTACATTTGTGCCTGCAGAAGAAATTGGACGTGTTCCCACGTTCCAGCAGGTTTCTGAACCCATTAAGCTCCATCTGCATAAGAGCAGATTCAGAGGGAGGAAAACCAGGGATGAAATAAAGCTAAAATGCAGTTGTTAGGGTATCACTTTAACTCAGTGGCACAGATCAGCATGGAGCTTGAGTCCAAAGCAACAGGAACTACAGCAGCTTTGAAGGAGGAGAGTACTTGAGCTAGTCTGGTATGTGAATGTTTGCCAGATCTGCTCACATCTGGCCAACTCTAACATTATTGCACCATCTAGAAAACATCTAACTCACAAGACTGAGCATTGTTTCCCTTAAACTGGCTTCAAGGTTTGTATTTGCTGTACACAGTATAAACAACACTTAAAAGTGTTAAAAAAGTAATGAACAAAAATGCCTTTCTTCCCCAAGAATGTTTCAAGATGCACGATATAAATTCATGATAGGGCTGGTGGAGACCCAGTGCTCAGCTGAGCACAGAGGCAGATGCAGCACATGGTGCCTCTCAGGACCAAGGTGCAGAACCAGCCCTGCGCCAAGAAGCAGGAGAGTGCAAGTACCTGCTGTGCAAGGTCTGGCTGCAGTGCATGGCACAGGGCATGGCTGCCACACACGCAGTGGTGCTGCATGGTGCAGGAGCACCCTGCAGTGTTGGTCATAGACGTGTCCGGTGCTACTCCAGCCTGTCTGTCCAGAGTCCACAGACATTGTTTCATGTTTGACAACAGAGAACTGATGCCTCAGTGGCACTACTTAGACCCCAATACCTAGAGCACTGTTGGCTTCCTTCTCCTCAGGAGACTCCTTACCACCAATGGGATGATATGGTGGTCAGTAGCAAGAGATCACTGCTTTTGCTGGGTATGCTTCTCTGCTAATGCTCATAGTCTCCATTGTACCTGTCATTTGTCTGGTCAGGCCATCAGCTGTCCCGTTCACAAGTTTTCTGCTTAAGTTTGGATTTCAAACCAAGGGGATTCAATGCTGTTGCTGATACTGATCAACCCTGAATTTCCCTCCCCACTGGCTCCTGCACCAGAAGTCTGCACTGGTTTTGCTATGTGCTTTGTTCCAAAAAGTCCTTGTTGATGAATCATCACATTACACTGGCTTCCTCTTGGGCAGTACATGGGCTGCCCAACCTGAGGGTGGACTGAAGGCTCCAGCATCAAACCTTTCCATCCCCTCCAGCTTGGTATTGATGTTCTGGGCTCAGTGTTCACATATGTCAGAGACCCTTTCATGGGCTGTTGCCTGGTGGAAACGATTGAAGAGGTTAGGAAACCTCCAGTTATCACTTGACCTTCACTTCAGCTCATAAACTGGCATTGCGTTCTCATTTCAATTAAGATCAGAGACACAGGTTGCAACATAAATGTGATTGAAAGAAAAACCACTTTCCAAGGAGAGGGGTGGAGGGACCCTTGAAGTCTCTTCACCCCTGGAGGTCTTCCAAACAGGCCTGGACAAGTCCCTGTCATAATTCTGAAGTTAGCTCTGCCACCAAGGCAAGGCTTTCCCCAGCCAGGGCCCAGGTGGATGCAATGGTGGCAGAAAGGTTCAACCAAAAGCTCAAGCCACAGGCAAGTTTGTGGTGATGAGAGAGGTGTGAGATCAAGCCAAGTAGTCAATTAGTGGATCAGGTCCAGTGATGGTAGCCTGGCTCAGACACTTACCAGTGATTCCTAGACAGGTCTATAATGACAAGACAGTTTCAAGATCAATCCAGGATGTCTATCCGCAGGTCCAGATCCATGGACAGGTACAGATATGGCTGAGCTGGAGATCAGTACAGCATTTCTCAGGCAGGGACTGAAGACTAAAGTGAAATGGAGCTCATGAGCCCATTGGGTAGGGTGTGGGCAGAGCTCTTGGTGAGGTGGGTAGGGGCCATTAAGGCTTATTAGTGCCCTCAGGACCATGATAATCTCTTTCAATCCAACTCTGCTACTGGGTGTGTTCTTGGTGCTCCATCAGCATAGAGGTCTGAAGGGCACCAAGAAGGTGCATGTAAGATGGCCTTTTGGGGGAGGACAGCTCCTGTAACTCCTTTTGTTTTGCCTGCTTCCCTTGCTTCTCAAACCCAGGAGCATGAGCCAATGCTTGGGAATAGAAGTGATGGGGTCTTGATTTGCAGCACAGGGAGCTCACATGGCAACTGCCAATTATCTCTCAATCATACACCTGGAGTGACAGGCACCTGGGCATGAGGGTGCAGCTGCCAGTGAAGGGTTGTGTTACACCCTGGGACCTGGAGGATGAGCTGCTCCAGGGGTGGAGATTCCCTGGAGTCTCTGCAGAATGCTTCCATTGAGCAAGCCCTCAATGCAGGAGGCCCAGGGCCACCTCCAGCCAGTGCAGGAACATCATGGGGCCCTGGTAGCCCTGTTCTCCTGAGTCTGAGTGGCTGGGGTTGGCCATAGTTGTGGTGGATGTGCCTTTGCACAAGCACGCCCACAGGTATGTCAATCTTCCCAACGTATCCCCTCGGTTACCACCCTGGCCACAAGGGACTGCTTTGGTGAGGGGAAGAGTCCTGGCTAGAAGATACGTCCTACAAGGTATTGGGGAGCACTGCAGCCCTGTGGAAGCTGGTGTGACATCTCATGCATGAGATCAGATGGGAACTTTCATCTGCGGATCAGCATCGGGTTGGGTCACTCTGGTGGGGGCAGGGAAAAAACACTGCTGTGCTGCAAGTCTTCAGAGAGGGTCTAGGAGCAGCGTCCCTTGCAGTGTGTTTTGTGCACATTCACAATTTGGGGCATAGGTATGAGGTCCAGTTGGGCATATAGATGATTTGCCATGCACATATGGCTTGAAAGGGAATAAGAAAGCACAGCCATGCACAGGGCACAGCATATGCTTCAAGTACACCATGAGTGGCAGTGAGCTGGAGCATGGAGAATGGCACATCTCTGGAGCAGGGTGTACCTCTGGAGCTGTGCATCTCAAGGTGGGGGAACAGGAACAGGCATACTGCTTGGCTGCATGCAGGGAGAGGCTCACTTGTGGAAGCCATTTCTCTGTGTGGTGCAGTTTTGGTAGCACTGCTGCTGGACCCAGCTGTGAGCTGCTGGGCCTGTTCCCAGCCCTGGTAGGGCAAGGTCTGGCCCAGTGCAGATGGGGAACACCGATGATCCTGATGGTGCAGTGTCCAGGCCAATGCTGGTAGTGCTGGTCTTGGTCCCAGTACTGTGTCCAGCCCAGACCATGGTGGTCCTGCTATTTGTGATGCACTGTAGTGCACCAGTCCCTTGCTGGCCCCGGCCCCAGAGCACTGGGGTAAAAAACTGCAGACCAGCACTGCTAGGGCTGACTCCACCAGTCTCAGTGCAATGCAATCCAGCCCCAGAGAGATATGCTGACTCTAGTCTTGGTCCCAAAACTGCAGTCACCTGGCCCTGTGCAGATAGTGCCAGTGCTGGTCCCAGTCCCCAGGCAGTGCAGTGTCCAGGGGCACGTTGGTGATGCCAGTGCTGATCCCAGCAGTGCAGAGACGAGCACCAGTCTTCGTCCCGGCAGGGCCCGTTATCTCACCGGCAGTGCCGGTGCCGTTCCTGATTCTAAGGCGGGGCAGCGTCGTGCCGCTCCCGTTCCCGGTCCCAGGGCTGGGCACAGCCCCGTACCACACCGGTGCGCTGCCCAGCACCCGGTGTCCCGGCGCGCTGCAGTGCCCAGCCCCTTGTGCCGCCAGCGCGGTGCCCGGTGCCGGCTGCCGGAGGCGGCGGGGCGGGCCCAGGGCGGGCCCGGCCGGGCGGGGGCGGCCCGCGGGTGATGTCAGGCTGATGCTGTCGGTGCGGCGCGCGGTGCATTGTGGGCGAATCCCGCCGCCCGCCGCGGCTCCGAGGGGGAGGATGCGCCCGGGGCCGGCCCGTCCCACAGCCGCAGCCGCAGCGCACCGGGCCGGCGGCACCGCGCCCGACGAGCCGCACTGAGGGGCGCGGGGCATGGGCTGCCTGCGCCGGCCGCAGCGGAAGGCGCCGGCGGCGGCGGGGCCAGGTGAGCCGGGCCGAGCCGGGCCCCAGCAGGCACGGGCGTGGGGAAGAGCGAGGGAGGGCCCGTCCCGCCGGCGGCCGGGGAGCTGCGGGGCCGAGACCGCACCGGGCCGGGCCGCGCCGCGGTTGCGCGCGGGGCACTGTGGGAGATGTAGTTCATCACCCCACCCGGCGTCTCCTGGCAAAGAGAGAGGGTCCCGCATGCGGGACTCGCATTCCCAGCGTGCCCGCGGAGCGGGGCGGGCCAGAAGCGGAGTGACGGGCCGGTGCCGCCAATGAGAAGGCGGGCAGGGCGGGGCGAACCATCTGTCGAGAGGGGCGGTGTGCCGGCAGCTGCAGTGCAGGGGCGGACGTGGCCACCTCCTCGGCGGGGGGAGGCGGGATGGCCCGAGGTGAGGGCAGGGCGGGGTCCGGGGCGGTGGCCGCCCCTCATCGCTGTCCCTCACCGCCGCCCCTCACCGCCGCCCCCTGCCCGGGCCAGAGGTCCTGCGGTGCCCGGGGGTCCCACGGTGGGGGCGGGCCGTGGCCTCGCTGTGCCGTGCGGGGCCGGAGCGGGGGCGCCCCGCGCCCTGAGAGGCTCTGCCGGGGGGAGCGGCCCCGCCGGGTGGTGCCGGGCGGGGGCCGAGTTCGAGGGCACCCGCGGCCTTCTGCCGGACCGGGCTCCAGGGAAACCCACGGAGGGTGTCAGCGACCTCGGGAGGGGGGGGCCACGTGCCGCCCGAGGCTTGGCACAGCATCCTTCCCGGGTCCACCGGGTGCCTGTTCAGCTGCACCCGGTGTGGAAAGCCAGACCGTTCCGTAGAGGTCTCTGGGGAGGGAGCGTTTCCATCGCGTTACGCTGGGATAACTCTCTGGTGCTCAGGGTTGAGGCAGGAGGATGAGTTTCTTCTCTCTCGCGAGGTGGGACGTGGTGCTCTTGTGTGTAATCTCCGTGTCTGCTGCAGCTTTGGGGCTCGAAGGCTCCTGCCATTGTGTCCTTACTGCTCGTGGTGCCCAAGTTGGCATTGCTGAATGTGTCCCTAGTCATTCTGCTTTCCCTGCATTCTGGGAGAGGAGGTATCCGGTAACCTGGGTCGGACCCACAGAGAACTCTCAAGATGAACACCATGACCTTGAAGCGCATCTTGTATTTAACAGGGAACCAGAATGCTGTGTGAAGCGATGGAGTGACATTGCTGCTCAGACGGTGTTGCTGAGCTATTTGCATGCCAAATTCAAGGCCCACTGTGGTTTCTGGGGGGGTAGGGACTTCAAAACCTGTTGGTATCATGTTTCTGAACAGTCCAAACCAGCTCTATATTAATATGTTTTTCCTATATTTTTGAATTTCCTTAGACTTGCAAGGAGGGAGTACAGACAATTTGATTGATAGAAGGAAAAGCTTTCTAATTTTACCATTTCATGTGGATTTCTTTACATTCCTTTTACTGTCACTGAAAATGCTGCCTTTTAGCAACAAACTTCTCTGAGTCACAACAGAGATTTTGAGCCCAAGGACCTCATGTTGTGTGTGCAACAGGATGTGCTAGTGCTCCCACAGCATTAATGCTTGTAAATACTGTGCCTGTAGAGGTGCTCTGACTAAAGAGCATCAGGACTGTCTCACTAGTAGTTACTCACCACATTTCAGTGTGTCACCTTCTTTTGAGACCCGCCCTCAGTATAAGAGAGGTAGAATAGGAACAATGTGTTAATGTTTTGGCTTTTTTTCCTTTGTGTGCCGATGATCATCCAGCTCATAAGGAGCATCCTCATGCTGATATATGTAGGATTAGAAATTTTGGAGATGCAATGCTCATGAATGGTGTATGTGGTGTCCACTGCTGGTACTTTTCTATTCTGGGTGCTTTTACGTGCTTTATGATAGTCTCATTCCTTAAGGAATAGGCAAAATTCCTCTTCTCTGACTGGCAAAGAAAAACACTGGAATTCCCTTGTAGGACACTTTTATCAGGGATCAGTTTTGGGGACACCTGCCTAGCCTTTTTTTCTTAGAATAGTCATCAAGAGGAAAGTCAGAACCCCATCAATGCTCTTGGGTCCTCCAGAAAGGAGTGTCTGTGGTGTTAAGAAATCTATTTCATCAGCCCTCAGGGTTGGTGCTAATGAAGTGGTGCTGGTGGCCAATGTGTGAATTTCCTTCCTCTTCCCTCTCCGCTCCAACCCCGATGTTTATTAGTGAAAGCAAGTGTATCTCTACACTGTAAAAGGCAGCACAGAGCTCTTCTCCAGTGGAAGCAATTGTTACATGTGCAGGGTCCAGAAAAACACTTTGGGAATGGCTCTTTGTCCTGGGGAGCTCCCAGATGAGATTTGTTTGCCAGAGCTCCACAGTGACCTTTCAGTAACATCGATTCACTCTGAAAACAGAGCAGGGGACAGAAAATAGGGCCATATAGGGCAATAAGGGCTTTTAAAGTCCTCAAGGGCTTTGTAAACTGTTCCCTCATTTTTAAGGGTGTGTTGGCTTTCTTGGTATCTTCTGCTTTGAACATTGGAAGGCACAGCCCAATATTTGCTGGAGGGATTGTAGAAGCATTTGCTAAAAGGCTGTTTTAGCTCTGCTAGTTTACTGAACAAGATACAGAATGGACATGACTAGTGCTTCCCTCCTTCTGTCAAAAATAACCAAAAAGTGGGTATTCCT